GTCTGCTTGGAGAGTACCAACCACAGCCGACCTTGCTCCCGACCTACTCCCAACCATCGGGTGGGGAGTTCGGTAGAGTTCGGGAGGCCATACTCGGTTCTGGGTGACAGTGTCTGTGTTAGCGTTCACGTAGTGAGGCGGACCTTCCATCTGCTTGGAGATTAGGACAGCCAGTCCAATGATGATACTCTACAAGCAGAGGTTTGGGTTTTGGCTTATTTTGGGCGTGTTTTTATGCTTTTTTATCGGACTTTCTTTTATGCATCGGTATCTTTTTTTTTGTTACCGCGGCTTGGTTTGGCGTAAAAAAAAGATACCAGTGCAAACAAAACACGCCCCAAAATAAGCCAAAACCCAAACCTCTGCTTGGAGAGTAGATGATAAATCTTTCATGGAGTGTAAGTTGCATGCCAGTGAAGTCCGCCCCCGAGATTCCGCACTTCCCAGCTTATCATTACGTTTTCCAGACGGGGTCAGACAGGATCATCCTCAAGCCAGCCTGGATTTGGTTTTGTAGTCTGACGTCAGTAGTTGTACCCTTTACAGCTGGAAAGTCCTTTCATTTATGTCCTCATAAAAGATAAATGTCAGTAAATTTAGCGTTTGTCTTGGGTCATCGCACAGGCATGACAGGGGGGACTGGCAACGAGCCAAGTGTTCACCGGGGCTAGCTAGGCCCTTGGGCAGTTCTAGGGACGAACAACGCCCTCGCATTTCCTGCAGTTCCAGTCCACACAGCCTTGGATGGTTGGATATACCCTCTACTGACAGGGTCTTGTACAGAGGGCCATCGGCCGGGAGATTCGTGGTGAGTGCAGGGCCGCCATGGCTCCGCCGGCGACGACGTCGATACAGATCCAGATCAACGCCGCACAGAATCTCCAGAACACCGACACGTTCGGGAAAAGCGACCCGTACTGCGAGATCGAATACAAAGGTATTATTAATCTCCAAGCAGATTCGGTGGGGCAAGGGGACTTTTTATTGGCCAGTCCTGTATCCATTGGCCGCCTGTATCCAACGTTCGTGGGGCGAACGTTGGATACAGGCGGCCAATGGATACAGGACTGGCCAATAAAAAGTCCCCTTGCCCCACCGAATCTGCTTGGAGATTAAGGTATTATAAAGTGAACGCCGTGATTTTATATCTTACAGTGTGTTTAGGGTGTTTTATTGGGGGTGTGGGGGAGGGGCGGGGTAGAAGTGCTACAGACAAATGCCTGTATACACAGAGGTCATGGCTAAAAGGGTGGGAAACAGCGGACCTTGCGTTGTATCGCTAACAACATTATCATACTGCGTATACCGGTGTTCAGGCACTATCTCTGATTGGGGAGGGGCCTTGAACTAACGGATGCATATCTTGCCCTATGAACTCTGTTTCCATTCCATTCACGGTCACGTTCAGTGACGTCTGCCCGGCGTGCCGCTCAGGTTCACTGATCGATAAGCATCGATCGTCGGCGCGTGAAGTCGAGCTGTCAGCGTCACAATACCGGAACGGTTCCCGCTGCTACGGACCCGCCCTTTCTAATGAATTGTTCATGCTGTACCCTAAGTAAAACAAACACATGTCACGCTAGCATCGTTTGTATCGACACGAAATGACAGTAGCTGCGCTTCGTTTAGGATATTTATGGGGCAGAGCCAGGCGTGAGATACCAGTTGTATGTACGTGTACGTGTACAAACTTTGAAAGAGAGTTTCTTCTATACTGTACAGTAGTACTACCAAGGATTTCGTACTACCACCAGCCGCCTACCTTCATTGGTATAACTGTCTTGCCCATTGAGGTCCCTAGGTGCGCTATTGAATTACATTGTAGTGTTTTGTACACTACCGGTATTTAGATGACTCGCTATAGACTTTTTCCCTGACTATGCATTGGACACATCAAGCTTTCTCAGTTGCCGGTTCTGCCTAATTCACCGTTCTAAGTACCACTAGTGTTGCCTCATTTACGTCAAGAATTACGGTTCATTCAGTAGCAACCAACTGCCATCGCTCTGTTCCAGTCAGCATATTCAGGGCTATCACTACAAGTAACGTTACTACTAGACTAGTTGAACGTTACTTACTGTATCAAAAAAGGCCATAACATCTTGCATCACTAGTATGTCATATATCCAATCATCTGCTTGGGCATTAGGCACAGATCTTACCTTCCTTTATCCGCTTGGACTTGGAGATATCTGCGTATTCTTCAAGAAGAGGACCGTGGCGACCTTTTTGATATGCTCCGTTTTTTTCTGTCGCTACCCCAGGAAAAAAACCGAGGCATATATATGTATTACTGGAAAGGTCACAATCTTGCCCACCAACCTCTGCCTATAGAGTAATATCTGCGCACGGGAAGTAAGACCGTTATGGGCGTAGGCGCGCATGACAGGCGTTGGCGTTTAGGTACCACGTTGTTAGCACTAGCAGGCTGTTACACTAGACTACATGGAACTGAAAGGGAAGTTAGCCAAGCCACATACCAAACCCGTCCTTCCGTGTAGCCTGGTTATAACGTGGTACAAGTTTACTGTCCGCGCCTCAGTGGCGCCTACGCCTACGCCCATCTTCCTTCCTAGTGCGGATGTTGGAGGGAGGATTATACGGTACTTTAAATCTTCACGCAGCGCAGATGTTTAGTTCGCGAGAAGGTAGGTGCGAAGAGATGAAAAAAAAAAAAAAAACGTACAAACTATGATCCCGCAAAAACACAACGGACCCCCACATCTGCTTGGAGACTACTTGTGCCTTTTGGACATCCTCGGACGCAGGCTACTCTCCGAGCAGAGATTTGGGTTTGGGGTTATTTTTTGCGTGCACGTTTGTTATCTGTCTGTATCTATCTATCTGTAAATATATTAATAAATTTGTATCACCCAGCCCTGCACCCAGCCTAAACCTCCTAGTATAAAACTCAATCCACACTGGGACAGTATTGTTAAAAAGTGTTCAAAAAGTCCATGTAAAGATTTTCTATACGCTCTAGCATGGAAGAAAAACCTCCATGGCTCTAGCAAGGACTCTAGCAATCTCTATACGAATCGGGCTTGTGCTGATTATCCATTGTGGCATATCAGACTACATCAGTTCTCGATTGCACAAAGGACTCACTCGGTTTCTTGCAACCTGCCAAAGGCCGTGCTAGGGCAGCCCCCTCTCTTGCCCTTTGCCCAGACGTGAGGTGTAACCCAATACGGACTGTCGATAAGAACAGCTGCCACGTAAATGTGCAGGACAAGGGGGCAGGACGGAACTCTCAGCGGGCGATCTGACTCACTTCCAGCTCCTTGCCTTCACAAAATTTCTTTATATAGTCTACTAGTATTGGTGAAAACAAACAAACTCAAAGAAACAAGGATAATTTCCTCAACAACAGTGGAAGCTTGAGTTACGCCATTACCTGGAATCCTGAACAGGTTCAAAGCTTTTTAATAGTATATTTGCGAAGTGTGTGGGAGAACCGGAAGTAGGAGGGAGGGGCTAAAAATTCGCGGCGCATATTTGGCCGCCTGGAGAATGTAGACAGCCCCGTGGACCGCTAGTTCTGACCCACGGAAGTTCTACAAACTACATCTGAGCACGGGTCTCTAGGACCGCTCAGACATGTCTAACATACAGGTAACGGTCCTCAGCGCAGCCAACTTGCCAAATGTGGAAAAATTCGTCGGCAAGAGCGACCCGTACGCGACACTTGACTTCCAAGGTATGAGCGTGGTTTTCTCTGTCATGTACTCCCGTTATAACAAATGATACCCAGCGCTATGCTGGGCGTGGCGTACTAGTACAGTCAGAAAACTAGGAACTAGTACGACAAGTAGATGTACTCGGTAACTGGTCGTAGATTCACCTGAAACAACCCGTTTGTGTGCCGACTAACATCAAAGGGAAACACCCGTTACACGTTTGGATGTGTGTGTCCTATAAACTGTTGCTGCTCTCCTCTGGGAATAAACAATTACAACTAGGTTTACATGTACATACGATTAGCCCACTTCTTGTGGCTCTTCTTGTCAGCCATTTCTTATTGTTATTATACGGCATTTGAAACAAAAATGTAATCGGCGAATATGAATAAAAGATTCCACGTCTTTATTGACGGACATACCAAAATCTCTTTTGTCAATAAACATAACATGGTCACGATGAGCAACCAAAGAATTCCAAAACAATTTGTTTAACTTCAGGGAGGTACCAAGTGCCCTTTGCCATTACTGAATATGCAATTGACGTAAGGTATCAAAGAAAACAGTTATCTGAGTACTGTATTTTCTATTTTTGTTGCATTTGATTCAATAATGGGCCATTGTTCTTGATTGACACACACAATACGTTATTGGAGGGGAGAATTATTTCTCGAGTAGGTTCTGCTTATGCATAATTGAGCATTTGAATTCTGCGTGAATAGGTACTTTTGCATTATTCAGTATCATTCATGAGATCCCCTCCAAGCATACCGAATATGCATGCAGTCACCCACTAGACAAGAGGAAGAGGAAGTTACATGTATGCCAAAATCAAGCTGCTTGGTTTCAGTTCCTGTAGTACATGCACATGTATATGTCTATCATGTTACAACTGTATTGTCACCAGTATGCTAAGGTACAGGCCCGAGCTTGACAGACCATGATTGTACAAGAAAGTACAAGATTTTAAAAACCCTTTAGAGAGTTACACAAGAACAACAATATGTGTAATGGCAGAAAAGCAAAAATTGAATAATTAGAGATACAGTGTATTTCAAACTGACGCCACCTCACCCACTCTACTTTGCCTATCCCTAAAATGCACACAGGACGTAGTAGTAATATTACGGAGTAGTCCTTGAATATACAACAAAGTTACCTATTAAAACTGACACCATTCAAAGTACACTCCACATTCCTGTACCTGAGCCTATGACCACAAACTTTCTCTTCCAATGATGACAAAGCAAAGCCAAGAATTCCTGCCAGATAAACTGTTGGAATAACAACAGTTAATCCAAGTATAAGATGTCACATTGCGGACAATATCACTTCATCTCCAGGATAATTAATTTTGTCATTTTACCCTTGATGAAGCAAGTACAAAAAAAAAATGTAGACTGATCTAACCACCCAGATTTAAGGCATCTTAACATTCAAATGTTAGAACTGATTGCAAAATAAAGAATTGACAAAAACTCTGTTTTCGTACAGGTGACAAGAAGAAAACAGAGGTCAAAGAAAATGAGTTGAATCCAGTCTGGGACCAGGTGAGAAATAGGCTAAACCTCCCATGTGTTCAGATGAATTGTTCTTCTATTAAAATTCTTCAACATTATAACATTGAATGATGCTGTTTAAAAGTTGTTTACAATACAGGAATGTTTTAATCTGGTTTGTTCTGTGAAGGCTGTAAGGTCAACATTCCGTCAGGTGCCCTAAAGCCCAAACATTAACAGAAAGTGTTATTGAGGCCTTCTTAAGAATGTCTTGAAGACTTAGGTGCATAGGTGCATACATGTAGTAGTGTACTGATGCTGCATTATTAGATTTACATTATATTTTATAGCTCTTTTATGTCAAGGTTGCACTAGGTATTCAGCATTGATGTTTATGTTGCCTGACTTAATACAGAACACATCTATTCCATATAAATAAACAAGATTGTTTTACACTCTTGATGTCTTAAAAAATAAAAAAAAAAGTAATTTTGCATCCTCAGACATTCAGCTTTGACCTTGGAGGGAAGGCTCTGGACCCTTCGGACAGCCTGACAGTCAATGTCAAAGACTATGAACGTGTGGGCAGAAACAGGTGAGGGATTCACATTACTACATTCGAGAAATGTGACACATATGACGGGGACCACTCTCTGATTACCTTCTATGTGTATTGTGTTTATTACCTTGGTCAAGAAGGTTGTGTTTTCCAGCGTATGTGTCCCTGTGTTCTTAACTAAAAAGGTTGGTACTTAACTCTAGGGCTTGAGTAAATTAACAGATGGACTAAAATGCTAGTCTAACCCATGTAGTAGTGTAGGTTCATAGGTTAAGGTTTAGTTCTTAATTGGGGCTTGAGTCAATGAACAGATCTAGTAGAATGCTAGTCTGACCAATGTTTCGTTCTTAACTCTAGGGCTTAATTTAATGAACAGATCCAGTAGAATGCCTGTCTAACTCATGTAGGTTAGTAGGTTAAGGTTTGGTTATTGACCCTTAAAGGGCTTACTAGTAAGTTAATGAACAGATCCAGTAGAATGCCAGTCTGACCAATGTAAGGTTACTGGTTTAAGGTTTTACTAAGGGCTAAAGTTAATGAACAGTTCCAGTAGAATGTTAAGGTTCCAGTCCAGTAGAGTGCAAGTTGTACATTATGTATTTAATATTGTAAATATGTAATTTGTATGTTTGTGGGGGAGACAACGTGAAGAGGTGAGCAATCACCTGTTTTGTAATGGAAAAGCTAAATAAAGTCTGACCCACACAGGTTACTGGGTGAGAGTGTGGTTCCCCTGCGGGATGTGATATCAGCACCGAGTCACTCCTGTGAGCTGAACCTCACCCTGCAGGATGGTAACAAGCGACCCACCATGGTGAGATGCTATAGAACACACATGTACATGTACTACTAATCAATAACAGTCATTCAAACACAAATCAGTGAAGACGCGCATCACAGGTAGTAACTTCTTATGAACAAAATAATCTCATCTCTCTTCATTCTATTGAATAATAGATGATTATCTAGTCAGTTATCACGAAGAGAATTAAGTTAACAAATTAAGTACTGTACTGTATTTATACATTTATATAATGAGTCGTTTAGTGATGAGTTAATCTGTTGAAATGATAACGTTTGATTTTTAATCTTTTCTAGTCTATTGTTTTTTTATTGTCTATGTCATGAATTTCTTATATTAAAGGGTGATGGGCAAGAAATTTAGCAGATTTAATGTTTGCAATGGTATTTGAATGTTCATGATGACTGAACTTGATGAAGATACGTTGATGAAAAAAATCAAGCAATAGTTAGAGGGAAGTTATACAGTCGCTGGAATTTTGCTGCAGCTCGATTAACATTTTGCATTTCACCGAATGGCATGACGAGTTTTAGGTGTTAATACATATACTATAGTAATCCGCTATTTTGCGGGCTCAGCATCATGTAATGAAGAAGATGATTTGAAGAGTTGTGCTATAATTATATAAAGCTGTTTTTCATATGTGAAGGGTTATGAATTATGATAAAGTTACTATGATTTGAAATCAGCGAGGAAGTCACTTAAAGCTAGATACATCAGTTTATTACGCTTTATACACATAAAAGTTTGTCACTTCAACAGTTCAGAATGAAGTCAGGAGAGAGATAGAGTGATTTACTTTAAGATAATATCTTCAGTCATTTCGAGAAAGTTTTCTTACTGGCTAGAGAAAAAGTGATGTTTGTGGCTTGTGTGTTTGTCAGTCGACTATCAGCCTGAGGATCTCGTACCAGCCACCTGCCCAGGAAACCGCACCTGAAGCACCTGCTGCCGAGGCAGCTGCAGAAGGTCAGGTTCAGCTGATTTCTTGTCAGATAACTGTATGTTTACATTGTAACTAGTACTTAACTGCTTGGTGACTTTTGGGTGATAAAAAGTATGGCAAATGTTTGACATAGCTAACACAAGAGGCCGTATAACCTTGTTAAGTAAATAATCTGGTGAAATGAAATGTGACTTTGCTTGCTTAATGAGTAAATATCATATTACTCTTGTTCATGGTAAACCAAATTCAAACCTAAAGCCTGACATTGTCTGAGCTTGGTACAGGCAAAGTTTATGCCTATTACCCAGTGGAGCAAGTATTCTATGTACATTGTAGTGACAGTCAATGCAATTTTAGTGAGTAAAATAAATTTCCTGCATCTCTTTGCAAAGAAGGTCAAGCTCTAGCTGCAAGGTTTTTTTACATCGAGTTTAAGTTTTGAGTTTTGTTGTGGATGGTATACTGGATGGTATTTTTTCACCTTTGTATAAAGATTAACATTCTTAGTTAAAAGTAACATCTACATGTAATACTGGTAAACACTGTGTAGCATGGCCATGTCATTCCCAAAAGATAAACTTCTAAATTTATGTGTATTGAGTAGGTGGAGAGGTGGGTGACTTAACCTATGATGAGGGAGGTACAGAAGAGGCCCTACAGGAAGAAGGAGGTGTGGTCAGCACAAAGGGTGGCAAAACCTCCCGGGGAGCCGCAAGGTGAGAGCACCTCATATATAAATAATAATAAATGGTTTATTGGTCAAACATTACAGCCTTTTATAGAGCTGAATTGATGCAGGGTTTACAATCACATAATACATATTTGCGCCACACTCTTTATTTGTAAAACTGTCCCAAGGGTCTGTGCGGCTGCCATTTGGTGCCACAAGGTCACCTCAATACGACTTTCCCCAACCGAAGTTAGGTACCCATTCACACCTGGGTGGAGGGAGGAAAGTCGTGTAAAGTGCCTTTCCCAAGGGTGTAACATGTCCTGGGTACGACGGGATGGAACCTTGGTCTCGCCGTTTCATAGTCGAATGCTCTACCATTACACCGCCCGACTCCATGGCCATGACACATATGTCTGAGTGTCAAGCATTTCGTGTCTTTTTTACTAATTCTGTACATTCATCTGCCTGTTATATTGAAGGATATCTCAGGTATTTAACCTGTGTGTTTTCTGCTTAGGAGGAAATTGCCTGGCAATCTGTCCAATAAGCCCATGGACTTCCAGGTAGGAAGATTTTTGTGATGTTTCCCAGAAATCAGTGAGTGATCAATAGCAACATCAATATTCATCATTGTATTGATACTGATAAATGAATGATAAGCTTTAATATAAAGTTAACATTATTGTTTGCATAGAATGTAGCAAAAATCAGTAATCAATGAAAGTCACCAGAACATTTGATCATTTATTTGCTGTTTTATATTTGCAGAAGTTGCAGCAGAACAATATTTTATCAAAATGTTTCACTGATGTTAAAAAATGTGGTTCTCTTTTCATAACCTGGAAGACTTTGTTACATCACATTGAAAATAAGTACTGTTAGCAGAGTTTATCAGGGCCCTGAGAAAACCAGCTGAGCAGTTGCCAAAGTAAAAGTTCTATTAGGCCACACCAATTTGATTTATTGGTTCTCTGATTTTTTCTGAAAAAAATGAAGTGACAGGGTAAAAAAAACAGAAAATGAACAGACCTAGGCATGCACCAAATGTTATAATAGGCGCCATGAAGTCAACATACCAGGCTGGTTTGCAATTCAAACAATGAATTTCAAAGTTTCAAACCACTACATTGATAGATGGAAAAACTGTACAGCTCTGAAAAGAAGGGACTTCCTTCAACTGTTGGAGCCAAAATTTGAGCATTTTGGAGTTGATTCATAGCCTGAAATGTTTTTTTTGTTGTCAAATCAGGAAAAAATGAAGCATCAAATCCATGAGCCAACAACTTAAATTGTGTTAATATTAGATTGTGTGATGAGAACCTCATTCTCCCCCCCCCAACCAAAAAACAAACAACCAGTTTCATGATGCTTTTTACAGTGTTCCTCTTGTTGCATACATGTAGATACGCATCAGGGTTCTGGAGGGACGACGAATCGCCGGGTCCAACATTTCACCTGTCTGTAAAGTCACCGTATCCAACCAGTCCAAGCAGACCAGAGTCAAGAAAAATACAGACAGCCCTTTCTATGATGAGGTAAGTTTAGGATACTCTTAGTAATGCTATTTTCAACAAAGGACTTCTTGTCCTGGCCAATAAGTAATTATTCCTATTATAAGTATGTGGAACGATACACAGGTGTTCATTTAGCAGTAAAGTGATTAAGGGAACAGCCAATGAGCAACCATGTCTGCAAACAGGGATGCACCTGCTGCCCATATTTGGGCATTGGGCTTCTGGCCCTATGCCCAAATATGGTCACACTCCAATCAGGGTAGCACACAGTGCTATAGTACATTAGGCCACACCAAGTAAATTTTATGGATGACGTCCGCGCGCGCATTGATTTTGGCCTGTTCCTAGAAAAAAAAACCAAAAATTCCGCTTCCTGTAACTATGACCAAAGAGTCACGACAGTGCCGCAAATAGGTTTGTACGGACCAAAGCTTATGAAGCATCAAGCAAGGAAATAATGACTTCAATTAGGAATTCAGTTTGGTACATGCTGCCACATTTGAAGAAACTTGCTGACTCCCCAAAGCACAAGACGACAACTGCTGTTCCACCTGATCTATTATTGCTGTTTTGATGATGAATAAGACTTCTTGCTTGTTACACTGTGTCACCTCATTCAATTTGTGTCCTAACATTTGTCGTCTCTTAATATATTTCTAATCTAGGCATCTTGTTTTTTAGGGCCCTTCTTGTTTTTTCTTCGCCCTCTCGCATTAGATTTAGGGTCTCCAAAGGACGTCATCCATAAAATTTACTTGGTGTGGCCTTACCTATAATAACACAGCCAAAAAGTCCAAATAAAACCATTCTAAAAGCCTGCATCAAGATGGGGTATTTGGCCACTCAACCTTCATGCCATGTTATTTGGCCCAAAAATGAAGAAATTGAATCCATTTAACGAAATGGCAGAAGAAGGAGGAGAAGAAACATGAGAGAAAACAATATGTCCTCACCACACCACTTCGTGCCTTACTCATGTTTTGAAAGGTTATATGTAGAAGCAGTGATTTGTTTTTCCTTGCAATCTCACAGGCAATTTAAAGCAATCTGTTGCTGCAGAATTAGAAACTGGATGATTGAGATTCAGCTGCAGAGGTGTTATTAAATCAATTTTGTAATTTTTGTTTGTTTCATTTTTGTGTCTAGCTTTTCTTCTTCAACTTCCACGAGTCCCCTGCTGAGTTATTTGGAGAAATGATAGAAATTCAGGTGAGTTGGGAACCTATCTGAAGAAGTTCTAAAAGAAATTCTAAAGCATTGACTTTCTTCATTGATTCTTTCAACCATAATAGACACTGTGTTGGTATATGAGGGTAAGGGGGCTAGTCAGGGGGCTAGTCGAGGGGGTTCATCTAGTCTCAACTCTCAAGCGTTAGCAGTTATCAAATACCATGAAATCCGCACACAATATACAAAAATGTATATGAATTACTACTATAAATTTATGCTATGAAAGTTATGGATAGATTTACGAAACAATTACAGAATTTTGACTTGTCAAACGCAAAAGAGTGACAGGGATTTTGGGCTCAGTACATTCTATGCTGTACCCTTGTACTATACCAAGACGAATCCTCAGTTTTCCTAAAAGGTTTTGTGATACATCACTGATGAAGTCTTTGTCTTACAAATGTAGGTGTTCAACTCACGCAAACTTCGTTCAGATGCCTTCATTGGCTCCTTTAAGGTATGTACATGAATTATGATTAGTAAGGACCTTGATTCATAAAAAGATGGAACAATCCTTTAGCTCAAGCTTTTTTCTGTTCAACTCTTCTATTCTATGCAGTGTCCCTGTAACTACATGTATATGACCTTATGACAAAACATTTTGCTTTTTCCATATCTTACAAGATATCTTCCATATCTTTGATGTGCTTACAAAATAATGGAAAATATTCTAGTGTATCAGCTGTAATAGGGCACTGATACTAGCATGTCAATACTATTTTGTTGATACATATGTGTTGCATTTTCTTTAATTGTTTTTTAATGTTATAATTATGGGTTCACCACACCACGAAGTGGTGGTGAACCCATATTGCTTTTTCTGATGTTTCTTCTCCTTCTTCTTCTTCTTCTCCTGCCATTTTTTAAATGGATTCAGCTTCTTCATTTTAGGGCCTAAGGTCCTGAAATTTGGTATGGAGGTACAGTGGGCAAATACCCCTAGGCGTTTTTTAAATTTTTGTGATACAGGCTTTTAGAATGGTTTTATTTGAGTTTTTTGGCTGTGTTATAGCAAATGTATTACTGTGTTAGTGTGCCGTGTTTACACGTCTGGGCATGAGTCATCACAATGGAATGCAGGGCATCAACCAATAGGCATGCAGCTTTCCTCTATACTTCTTGCTGATTGGCTGTTGGGATTTAACTTGATTAACACCTGCACAGAGCATTTCCATACTGACAGTATGTCTTTATTCAAGGGTTTTGGTAGGTATTTCAAGCTTTTCTGCTCCAGCATTGGAATGCGGGGCATGAACGTTTTTTTTTTTTGAAAATCAACAGTTTGCATTATGCAATTAAAAATCCTAACCAATAAAGTAGGGAATAGCTATCCAACTGTTCCCTGCCATGTCGTAAAATGTGGTGAACCCATCGCTGTATTTGCTCCAAAGCAAATATTGGCCTTTCTAGTTTATATTGTTTTGTCTTGTTTGGTTTTATATAACTAATTTATAAGATCTATCTAACGTTTGTATGTAACTTTGTATAATCCCAGTTGAGCTAACATCTCTCCAACCTTGTTTCTTTAGCTGGATATAGGGGTAGTCCACAGACAACCTAGTAAGTAACATTGCCATTTTGGCAGTTGACATTTGAATGGCATTTATTAATCACAGCCGACTAATATTAAATTGACTGAAAGCTTGTCAGATATAGACTCTACCCTAAGGCACTAATTTCATATCTTCGTTCTTTGATTTGTTTTGCTGGAGACAAGTCCATTCTTGTATGGGGGTCAAATTGGGAAGATTCCATTTTGAAGTAGGGTGATATTTTTAGTCCATAGTCCATACATGTATTTGTCAAAAAGTCACTTTGGATGGGGAGGGAGAGATGGTGAAATATTTATTAGTTGCTTGCAAATGTTGCCTCTAGTTATTTCCAATTTTTAAAAACCAGGAAAAATTGAATGTCGAATTCAGGGACCAAGAGATTGAAATGGTGTGTCCTTAGTTTTCTCTACTGACTTTTCTAACTGCATATTGAAATACGTTTAAGAGGACAGAATTTTAACTGATTTTTCATTGCTAATCCTTCTTGTTGTTATTAGACCATGCCTTCCTGCGCCGCTGGGTCCTGTTGAGTGACCCCAATGACCCGACTGCTGGTGCTAAAGGATACGTGAAGATGTCCATGATAGTGCTCGGACCTGGAGAGCAGCCTCCAGTAAGGGTTTACAACTCTAGAATCTTCTCCAAGTCTTGCTTAATGAACCCACTAGTACTCAATACCATTAGAATATCCATTGGGTTGCTAATAATTAAGTATCTCCAATTCCAGTTAGAGTAACAAAAACATGATCATTGCAGTTTAACTCAAAATACTTGAGATTTAGATGATTTTTTTCTTCTTCTATGATGTCTTGATGCAAAGTACATGTATAATTGATGTTCTCACAGTTTTGTCAACAGTTAAACCATTCTTGTGTACTCGTGTACAAGTCTAAACAATCATGTATTATGCACCAGCTTTGCATTACTGTCTGATAGCAAGCTGACCTTTATTTGTAGCATTATGCTTTATAGCCTTTAATAGTCGTTGAACCATTTAAAAAGAACAAATGTGTACACAACAAATAAAGTTGAACTTATGTTATAGTTGCAGAACAAATAAAGGACAACTAGCATAACAATATAATTGTAAGCTTGAAGTTGAAGTAGGCAATTGAAGAAAAGTTCAGTTTCTTTCCTTTTCTTTCCCCTAGTCTGAGAAAGCAGAAGGCGAGGCAGAAGTTGATTCTGATGACATTGAAGCGTAAGTACAAACTTACACTATCATAATGGCGGTTCTAATCTTGTCCTACCTGAAAACAGTACGTAGTTCATGCATGCAAAACAGAGAGATGAAAGACAGGTATGGAGAGATGTACTTCACATATAAAAATTAAACTGTTTTTGATGACATGAAGTGTGCGCCCTTGCAAGGAAGAAATACAATGAAATAACCTGTCAGTATGCTGATTGTGATGTTCCATTTTGGACATCAGTATCAGTGTACCAACATGAAGAAAGTTTGAAAGCACTGCAAATTGTATATCATATCAATACGCCATTTGCGTCCATACTCTTGTAGTCATAGTTTCTCATAATAGTCTCTGAGAATAGTATGATCACATTGTCATTGCTGCCATTTAATGTACCATGTACAACTGTTGAGCAATAAAGTTGAGTCTGAGAAAAAATGTTGCCATGATCTCTTCACAGAAATCTTCTTCGCCCGGCCGGTGTGGAACTCCGCCCTGCCATGTTCATCTTCAGGGTGTTCCGAGCAGAGGACATTCCACAGAGTAAGACTGGCTTTTCCTATTGTCAAGTGGAAGTTACAAAAACATGTACATGTATCTCTATCCAGTTGTTAACTGTTCGATTGACAGATCGACTGATTGATTGACATATTGACTGATTGATTGACAGATTGATTGGCTCATTGATTGACAGCTTGACTGATTGGTTGACAGATTGACTGAATGATTGACAGATTGATTGAATGATTGACAGGTTGAATGATTGGTTGACAGATAGACAGATTGATTGATTTACAGATTGACTGATTGATTGATTGATTGATAAACAGGTTGACTGATTGATTGATTGATTGATTGATTGATTGACAGTTTCTTGTAAGATGGGGAACAACAGACCTAAACTGGATAGTGAGTGAGTTAGTGTGGGTTTGTCAGATTGTATTTACACTGTACTGTCTACATGAGAAAGTATACATGCAGGCACTGACATGTTCATTGAACTGGCGTAATTCCCAAGATCTTTTTGACAAGCATAACAAGTTAACAGTGGAATACCACCAACAATGGTCAGCATTAAAACTTTCGAAATCCAGAGACAGACTTACTAACCCCTACATGTAGAACATGGATGCTACTGTAAGTTAGAAACCGTCCAAATCAGTTGTCTGAAAGCCACTGGGAACAAACAGCTGTATTAGCCTTTTGCTCTGTATGCAGACCAAATTTAATCTAGAAGTTTGAGTGATTTGGGTTAATGGGTGTATACTGTCTCTTTTTGAGTACAGTCAGCTATCTTGTAATTATGAATTGATATTACATGACTTCTTTATGCTTGAAAAACACTGTTAAACTGTATCTTAGTGTGCATATCAGTGCATATCACGGATATAGTGTACATCAGTACTGTTGAAGGTTAACTGGATCATTTGAAAGAACATACATGTAGTGGGCTGTCAAGTAAGCTGTTAAAAAGGATACATATAATTTAATTTCATCTTTATATATAGTTTTGTCACTAAACTCTTGAAAACAAGTTGACCATCACTGCAGCTAGTTTCTTGACTGATTGATTGACTAATTGATTGATTGATTGATTGACAATAAGATTGACAGCCTGCTTGATGTACCATTCCAGTGGACACGTCTGCAATGCAAGGCATCAAAAAGGTTCTGGGTGTCGGTGAGGTTAAGAAGGAGCTCGTGGACCCATACATGGAGGTGCACTTTGCAGGACGCAAGGTTAAACTTTCCTTTCCATCTGCATACATGTAATGTGTTCTGCTAGCATAGAGTTGCACCACATGTTACAAGCTGGATAAAAGTAAACAGGAACTACATGTATGCGGCCCCAGATGACTTACCAAGGGACTACTGCGTGTGCGAGATGTTGGTCAGCTTGAGAAATGAAACCACTGTACTATATACAGAGTTGCACCATATTTTATGTATCCAAGTATGAGCTGCATTAAAAGATCATTTCTTAATGTTGATAATGTGTGAGATTGTTGTCGTTGGCCTTCAGATGTGAGAAACATGTCACATTGCAAAATGTGTTTAAGCTTTTTTCCAAAGAATTAACACTTTAAAGAGCATTAACATTTTACCAGCTTTGAATGCTTTCTCTATACAAAGTGTATGATTCAGCTGAACTGGTAGATTTTAGATTCACATTTTCTAGGGAAGCAAACTTTGCAGAATTTTTAATGAATCATAAGCTGTGACTACATTATTCCAGTAGTGCCAAATATTATCAATACCACAATGAGTCTTATCTACTGTAACAGTATTTTAAATTTGTTCACTTAAACAGGTTAACACCAAGACTTTGTATAATTCAGACCATCCAGACTGGAACCAGGAGTTGCGACTAGGAATGCGGGTAGGTAGTCAAGTCTTCCCATCAGTTTTAACATACTCAGTTATATCATATTCTATCATGCATTGCGGCATTCATTGAGTGTGATTGACTTTTTTTCATTGACTTTTTTTGATTTCTTTGATGTAGGTCTTCACAATTATGATATTAAATTTCTTTCTGAATGTACAATGTATCTGTTGCTACTGTATTAAAGTAAAATGACCTAAAGTTAGTGTGAGGGTGCCTAAGAGTAGTTAGCATATTCTAGGGGGAGAGGGAGTCAATTAAGTGTTGTCTTTCTAGTTTGTCTATCTGTACAAATATCAATATTCAACTTTCTTTGCTTTTACAGTTTCCTTCTATGTGTGAGGTCATCAAGCTGCGTATCAAAGACTGGTGAGTGATAGGAGGGAGGAACTTTGTGAACTGTCGGCTGACGAGCCATTGGAGTGAGTGAGTGAGTGAGTGAGTGAGTGAGTGAGAGTGAGTGATGTAAAAGGAGGTTTTTGTGGTGGTTTAAATTTGTGGTTGAAACAATTCTGTAGTACAGTAGTGATACAATGGAAATAATGATACTGTACTTGATATTTGCAGGGTAGTTAACTGTGCTGTTTCCTACATTGTATCAGTGGCCCTCAAGTTTGTCAGAAAATCAAAATATATATTGAGACAAACTGTATTTGTACATGTTTATTGTAGGGACCGCGTCAGTGCTGATGATACTGTTGGTACAGGCCTGCTGAACCTGTCCATGGTGTCCTGGCCTGGGGAAGAGGATGGTGAGTCTGATTAACTGTCATCATCATCATCATCTCTGTATACCACTTCTGACACCAGCACAGTGTAAGATATCAAATACCATCCATACTCAAGGATGACTCATACAATAACCGTATTCATGTTTTATTTATTCTAGGATTCCTGCCTTGCTTTGGACCCTGCTTCATAAATATGTACGGTTCAGTTCGTGAATTTCGGACCTTGCCAGATGAATTTGATGACCTGAACTTGGGAAAGGTGGGTGTCTTACAGCAGAGTATATTACATGTGTATGATTTCTTAATCACTAACATGTGAGATCTACATTTCATGTAAGGTATGTGTATCAAGTGTTCATTTACTAATACAAAGAATGTAACTATGTAGAGGTTTTTTCATACTGAAAAAAGTTTCTGGCACTGAGCACCATCCACATACAGGTAAACACTTCTGTCCCTGGTGCTGAACACCATCTATGCACATGCAAAGGTACCTGTCCTTGGTGCTGAATGCCATCCATGCACATACAAAGGTACCTGTCCTTGGTGCTGAACACCATCCATGCACAAACAAAGGTATCTGTCCTTGATGGTGATTGCCATCCATGCACATACAAAGGTACCTGTCCTTGGTGCTGAATGCCATCCATACACATCCAAAGGTACCTGTCCTTGATGCTGATTGCCATCCATGCACATACAAAGGTACCTGTCCTTGGTACTGAACACCATCCATGCACAAACAAAGATATCTGTCCTTGATGCTGATTGCCATCCATGCACATACAAAGGTACCTGTCCTTGGTGCTGAACACCATCCACACACAGGTGAACACATCTATCTATCCCAGTTGCCAAATGCCAACCAGAATTTGACTGATTGTGTTTTCAGGGTGAGGGTGTTGCCTACCGCGGTCGTGTCATGGTGGAGCTGCGGACAGTTCTGGGAGAACTTCCTGACCCAAAACTGTCTGTAACAGACATCAGTCCAGAGGATCTCATGGTAGTGGAGGTAAGGGACGTTTAGTTAGCACATACGATAAAGCTATAGGAATAGAAATCTTGACAGAAAAGGACATCGCTTGCAAGAAAATGATGACAATGGTTTGGAATTTGTGGGAAATTGATCGCAGGATTTATGGTTGCTCTATAGCTATGGCCTAAAATGTAAGCTTTACACTAGAGAGATGGCATCTGCCTCCAATATATTCTTAATTGTTACATGTATGGAAAACTTTTGTTCCCTCACAAAAGGTAGATGTTCTCAACTAGAGATTTCAACCAGTCATTCTGGGCTTCCTCAGTAGACTGACCCAGTGAGACTTGTGATGTGGTTTCTCTGAAGTGTGTCGTCAACCCTGGGTCAAAGGTATCTGGTAAACGATGTCGGCCTTTGTCACACTTAAGAGAGGCCATGTGACAAGTCGTATTGGGTCAGTCTACTGAGGAAGACCAAAGTGACTGGTCAAAAGCTCATTTACCTTTTGTGTTGGACAAACAGTTCACTTTAAACATGTAACTACCAAGTTGAACACAAATGAACTTTCATGATAGTTAAGTCAAAGTTTATTGCAGAACAATTGTGGCAGGTACAATGTATGACAGATTATAAGATTACTAGCAGATATGAGTCTATTAAATTCTTCATATAGGTTCAACAGGTACTGTGTCTGGCAAAATGTTGAATAGAACTATAGTGCTGACTATAAAAGCTAGTACACCCGTACAAGTACAGTACATGCTAAGCTACGCTATACTATATTTATGATACTCCTGTATTCTCGTCGTTTCTCAGGGCTTTCAGCGCTGCCGTAAGTACCGCCTGCTGGGAATCTTCATGGACGCCTCCATGATCTGTGAGATGGAAGCCCCGGTGGAGTTTGAAGTCAGCATCGGTAACTATGGCAACAAACTGGACACCAACATCCCACCTTCCTCCTCAACAACCCAGGTAACATCCTATCCTACACTACTACACTGAAGGTCATCAACTTTACAATAACTTAAAAGTCTGAAAGTTAGATAAAAGGTTGTTAGTATTTCCATTGGTTAGCAATGTGTGTATCAATAATATTAGTTTCACTGTTGTCTATGTTATCAATTTGACTGTTGTCCACCTGTTGTTGCTTGACTAAATGTAGTCATATCTCGTCCTGTATAAATGTATGCTGGGCCCCATTGAAAAGCAGCTTCTACTATAGCTGAAGGGACTACTCACAGCTGTTTGATAAATAAATAAATAAACAAAGTTAGTACAGGCTCTGAATTTATTTAAAATCCCACATAGATGTATACCTGTTGGTGTATAGTGGAACAATCTGTCAACCGTAAGCTTGATGGACAAAATAGACAAAATCTTGAGTAAAAATATAGAAACATCCAAAGGACCGACAAAAACCACTCTCTACCACATGATTTGTCTCTCAAATGTGGGAAATTGCGCTTTCAAAGGCTAGAAAATCCAAAATTTGCCCCCAGACCCCTCTCGATTGGGAACACTCTCCCCCCAGGTCCAATCTTGAACCTGGCCTGACAGAAAAAATTTCAAGCTGGCTAGACACCCAGGTATGAGACTGTCACTGCATTCTAAAGATGATAGCTGCTTCTATTTATTTTCATGTCATCATTCTTGAATGTTTTGCTCCATGTACATGTATTATTGACATGTCTTGTCTTTGTGTGTGTGTGTGTGTGTGTGTGTGTGTTGATGACCCCCTACCTAAGAATTTTCTCTGTACCCAGCCCACCAACGCAGTGTTTGATGGGTGTAAGTACTACTTCCTGCCGTGGGGCAGCACCAAGCCTGTCGTCGTGGTCACATCGTTCTGGGAGAACATCAGCTGGAGGCTGGAGGCCCTGAACATGTTACACAAGACCACAGAAGCACTGGTGGGCATCTGTAGTTGTCTTGTCTTTCCATTAATGCCCATAATCATCATACTGATCATCCTGGCTTGCAGATTCTTGGCAAGACTCTGGATTGTATAATTTGTACCATCACATTTGTGAGTTATTATTTCTATAGAGCTGAAATAGTGGTCTTTGTTTAACATACTGTAAATTCATTAAAGTTCGTGGAGACTTAATTTACAGTTTGCACTGCAAATGCCAAATCACTGTAGATTTTCCTTCTATTTCAAAATGTTGGCAAGAAAAAAAATATTCTTCTATTCTGATGGGTTAAGTTTGATGTTAAGACTGTAGATCATAATAGAGCCTCATCTTGTACATGTATGAGTTAATGTCTTTCTATGTTTACCTTAACAGAGGGAAATATATTGTTTTGGCTCAGTTTCTTCTTCTTCCTCTTCTTATCCAAACAAATAAAGTCAATGACCTGGACCAGACGTCTGTCACCATGGTAACTTGTGCTGTAGCAACACCCTGTGGTGTTGGGTTACATTATGTAGCAGAACAGAGTTGGAGAGGCTTTGAGTAAGAATAAACAGAGCAGTGGTTTGTTGGGCTAGACCAGGTGAAGGTAAACATGATGCATTTGCTTTGCAAATGTTACCTTTCTAGTTACACTTGAATTTGTTATGTAGGAAGCCGACCTGATGAAGATCAACATGGGTTTGAAGACTAGGATGAATCGAGCAGAGCTAACCTCCCACTGTGTCGGGATGCTGGACAGGCTCATCGCAAGATGCAAGTAAGAAAAAAGCTCTCCTTTTTCGGTCATATGTCCCATTTATTCTTGATACGTTATTGTGTTATATTGACAACATCATGAACACCATCCACACACACACATGTCCCTGGTGCAGAACACCATCCACACACAAACACATCTATCCCTGGTGCTGAACACCATCCACACAAACACCTGTCCCTGGTGCTGTACACGATCTGCACACAAACACACCTGTCCTTGGTGCTGAACACTATCCATGCACAAACACACCTGTCCCTGGTGCTGAACACCACCCACACACAAACCTGTCCCTGGTGCTGAACACCATCAACACACAAACACACCTGTCCTTGGTGCTGAACACTATCCATGCACAAACACACCTGTTCTTGGTGCTGAACACCATCCACACACAAACAAACCTGTCCTTGATGCTGAACACCATCCACACACAAACAAACCTGTCCTTGATGCTGAACACCATCCACACACAAACAAACCTGTCCTTGGTGCTGAACACCATCCACACACAAACAAACCTGTCCTTGGTGCTGAACACCATCCACACACAAACACACCTGTCCTTGGTGCTGAACACCATCCATGCACATGCAAAGGTACCTGTCCCTGGTGCTGAACATCATCCAAACACCCACATTCAAACACACCTGTCCCTGGTGCTGAACACTACCCATGCACATGCAAAGGTATGCTGAACACTGTTGTGGCCAAAAAGTGATTTCTTGCTCTGGCAATTTTGTATACAGGAAACAACTGCCAAAAGCCGAGGCAGAGAAGGGTCATCGTGACACAGAGCTTGACAGGAACATGGCCAGAATGAGGAGGAAACAGTTGGACAATGTCACAGCTGAAGCCCAGGCACTGCGGGAGAAAAATGCAGAACCTGAGGAGGTTTTGGCAGCAGCCATGGACTACTGTCAGACTCTCAAGGACATCAGTATTGAGGTAAGTCTTGTCTTCTGTCACAGGCATTCCCTACATGCTAACTGGGTGTGCCTAAACACTACAATTGACCACCACAACCGGCTCTAATGTGCTAGTGTACATGAAGCAAGGACCTTGTGTAAAATTGAAGCTCAAAGACATTTTCAATCGATTATGAATAGAAAACTTGCAGTAAGTCTTTGCTCGCTTTGTAAGTATTTGCTCGCCTGTTTTTTTTTCTTCAAGTTATTCCACTTGTTTGAAAACTCAATCAAGTGCAATTCATTCAAGTTCACAGCATCTATGTTCTGTGGCAAGTTGAAATACAAAAGTTCCTTGAATCTGACACTGAAAAATGTAAAGTGAAAATTGTGGTGAATATTTCAAAACTAGAAATGTGAGTCAAACCTACTGTTTTGATGAGGAAATCTTTCTGAATGAACGTGTCCAGCCCCAGAACAGCATCCCTGATGTGATGATCTGGATGATCACAGGCGGGAGTCGGAGAGCGTACTGCCGCATCCCGGCACACCACGTCCTCTTCTCCACCAACCCTGGCTGCAGCGGGAAGTACTGCGGACAGCTGCAAACTATCTTCCTCAAGGTAATCCTTCTATACCTACGAATACTGCCCTCTATGGGGCATTGCACCCAGACTGCACGGCAAGTGCGGCTGGTGGGTGGTGTGGAAACGAACGAACAAAAAAAGGAAAGTGTGTCTGAAAACAGAACAAAATTTGCGCAGTTGTGAGACTATACTTAGTGAATCCTGACTACATCAGTGTGTCAGGGTGGCCTGTGTACTGGGCCAACCCCGACTTGAAGTTGTTGACTGTAGGTTGAGTGATGATGTGATGTGGTGGTGAGTTCCATTCTGGTATTGTCCCGGGGTATTGTCTTCCCATAAGCTTACTTTTTACAGTTTGCATATTACTGAAGATACACTTCAACCTGTCAGGTTGAAATGTATCTTCATGGCAGCCTGCCACTTGCCTCTATCCTGTGGGTTGATGTTGTTCAAGTTCAAATTAAGAAAAGTTAAGGACTGTACAGCCAATATGCTAGAAATTAATTTGACTGACATATTACACATTCAAATGAAGTGAAATATTACACAAATGACTGTCCTTCTGTCCTGTGGCACAGTACCCCGGACAGAAGCACAGCAAGACTGACATCCCCGCCCTGCTGAGGGTGAAACTATGGCTGGGGCTGCAGACGGACCAGGAGCACTTCGACCCCGGCACCACCGAGGGAGAGGTCGCCGTGTTTGCAGAGACGTACGAGAATGAGACCAAGGGACTGCTGGACCCCTGGAGCCCCAGTAAGACGTTCCGCCCCCACTGGTCGGACGCAGACGGAGAGTTGAAGCTGAAGAAGGACAGTTTTGTTCCCCCCGAAGGTTGGGAGTGGGACGGAGATTGGTTCATCAATCCTGAACTCAGGTCAGCTCCAAGTTCTTTCTTTCACATTAGGCCACACTGATTTAATTTCATATAAGACATCTCATTGATTTTTACCTTCCTTTGAGGCTCTGGCCTGAGTGCCATCCTCCATAGACTTAGTCCATGATAGCTAGCCTAGCAACAGTAACTACAGAGGATGGCACCCAGGCTGCCAAAAGCTCCACAGAACTCAAGAACTCGGTACAGTGCCAACTTATAAATGCTGCAAAAGGCCAGCATATGATGGCTTGTCGTAAAATTCACTACATATTACTGCAAATTCACAATACCAGCATTGCATTCCTATGGTTTAGCAGCATTTGTTTTGGGTGGAATTTTATTCGTGCAGCGTGCACTAGTTTGTCTTCAGAGAATGTCATCCATAAAGTTAAGATAGTGTGGCCTTATTTCCTTCAATTACAACATGTTTTTCTTTTATTGTTATTATTATGATATGTTTTGGGAAATGGTTACTTATGACTCAAGTTGTAGAAAATTTAAAGAAGTGTGGTATGTGCTTTTGGATGTTCCTAACTTGTTGTTTGTGTCCTACTCCTAGCCTGCTGTATGACAAAGACTTGTTGTTTGTGTGCTAGCCTGCTGTATGACAGGGACTCCGGCCACAAGCATTTCTTGGAGGACATCTACGAGAACCAGAGCCGTATCCCAGGGGGCCACTGGGTTGAAGCCACCACGTCTTGGTCGGATGTCCGCGGAGATTCCTGTCCAGCCAAGGAGGAGACGGAGCTGCCCGAGGGGTGGGAGTGGGAGGATGACTGGCAGATGGACCTCAACAGGGCTGTGGATGAGGAAGGTAGGTGTGGTCAGATGAAGCAGATGGTCCATGGATGCTGTTGTCATCATGTATGCCACCTTGTGGAAATAAACAGTACTGCAGGTGTGAGAAGCTCTGAGGAAGGCGTCTGATAGATATAATGACATTGAAACGTAAGCAAGGTAGGAAGACCTGGTTGTGTATATGAGAGTCGCAATATCCTATGTTCTATTAACCTGATGAAATTATTTTGTAGACAATTCTCTTTGTTTTACACACTACTAAGTCTTTTCAAAACTACTAGTTAATTCTCATACACAGAACCTCTATTTAACATCCTGTCCGAGTGACGTCTCTAACCTAAGCTAGGTGCTCAATTTCCACCTGAGTAAAGTGAGGAAAGTCGTGTTAAGAGGCTTTCCCAAGGACACAAGATTGATGACATGGTAGGATTTGAACCCAGGACCTCTTGGTATTGAGCCGTATGTTTACGTCACATGACTTGATTAAATGTGAATATTACTGATATTCCCCCCAGGTTGGGAGTATGCTGTAGAGTCCACCCTGCTGGGTTGGAGTCCTGTGGAGAGGACCTACCACATGTGCCGGCGGCGGCGCTGGGTTCGCAAACGCACCTTTGTTGAGGACCAGAAGATTCTTGCCAAAAAGGTTTGTTCTGTCGAGGATTTTCTTCTACTGCATACACACACTAAAAAAGCTTTCCTAAGCAGGTGCTTTAGCCTTAAAGGGTCATTATGTAATTTACATTTTTGCTCCAAAAACTGTAATATCTTATTTGAAATTATTTGTGTGATTGCAATCTACGTTTCAACATATTTAGGCATTTATGTCACATTTCTGATATTAATGATTGGTGCTAAAACAGCCCACATGAGACACACTCAGTTTACAGTGCCACCACAAACTACCAGAAGGTAGTAAACAAATCTGAATGACAGCTGTGCTTTAAGCTTTGAAACATGTCATATTCTGGCATGTGCACTTCCTGAATGGCACTGATTTGCAGTGGAGTAGGGTTTGAGTCCACATATTTTGTAAAAGAAATTACCAGAAAATTTACTTTTTGTATTAGCCTAATGTTACATAATGCAGCTTTAAGCCTAAGTTGGGATGTCGAGCTAGGGGTTGATCGCAAACCAACAAGGGATCGACCGGACAGCAAACCCTTATTTTGGAGTTTTTAACACTACCACTCAATCAGGGGTTGAATAAATCTATAATACTATGTTACACTCATTTCCAGCAAAAAAATGGCGCAGGCCAAAACAGAAAGGCTGGGAGTACGCCCCTCTGTTCACCATGCGTTTCCACGTGAAGAAACGGAAGATGGACATGGTGAGACGTCGGCGCTGGCACAGGAAGATGACGGCACCAGACAACTCTGCCACCGCCATCTTTGCCATCGAAAGTACCAGACTGGTAGGTCTGACAGTGATAATCTTGATAATCTTTAATACAAACTTTTATAGTATATATATTACCTGGAAGCTACATGTAATTACAAGTTATAAAATTATAATGTACATTTGACAGTAAGGCCACACCAATTTAATTTGTTGGTTCTCGGATTCGCCTCTTCGTTTTTTTCTGATTTGCAAAAAAAAAAAAATTTTGATTCTGGTCCTGAATCAACTGAAAAATGCTCATGTTTTGCCCCCAACAGTTGAGGAAAGTCCTTTTCTTCCTAGTTGTTACAGTTTTCCCATCTATCATTGCAGTGGTTTGATTAAAAGTTCAAAATTCAATGTTTAAATTTTAACCCAGCCTTTTGTGTTGACTTCATGGCTCATTCCGTAGCATTTAAGCCTATTATAGGATGCCTAGACCTGTTTTTATTTTTATTTTTTTTCGCCCTGTCGCTTCATATTTTTTCTGGAAAAATCCGAGAACCAACAAATTAAATTGGTGTGGCCTAAACACAGATCTTCAGTGCACAAAAAAAAAAAACAGTTACTCGAGCAACTGATATTATATGACTTTGGAAGCAGTCAGATGTTTCAGGTAGCATCAACTCCCTTTTGTCAGTGACACTGGAGAATTTTCAGAAAAGAAGGCTTATAAGGACAAACTATTGATGTGAATTTGTATCCTTCAGTACTTTTGTAGGGGTAAGGACTTCTTTGCAGGCAGGGGAATGAAATGTCCTGTGTTTTGTGCAATAAGAGTTTTTTTTTTGTTACATGTCAGTGAAAATTGTGAATGATCTTTTTGACAGAGTCCTGGAGATGATGACAGCGATGATGATGAACCCAAAGCTATCGCTGCACCAAGAGTCTTCCTCAGTTATGACAGTAAGACTGCTGAACATTCAGCTTGTTTTATGGTTATCTTTTTCGTAGTTACTCATGTTCCAGACCCTGTTGTTTTGATGTGTTCTGTGTATTGTGTAAAAAAAAGTTGGAAGGCCAGAAAAATGTCTTCCTTTATTAAAAAATTAATAGATTTTCTTCCATTTTATCATATCAAATATCACAATACCATCATATTTTGGGCAATTTCTCATCAAGTAATACTGTTTGGAGGGAAAAATTATTGCACTGGTTGTACGCAAAAGACAAAAATGATTTCTTCTTTTCTGTGCTTAATTTCTTGTTTCTTCTTTTTTCCCTCAGAGCCTCACAAATATCAGCTGCGTTGTTACATCTATCAGGCTAGAGACCTGGATGCTGCAGACAAAGACAGCTCCTCAGGTAACTAATACATAACTCAGTAGTCCTTCCAGTGAACTAGGATTTTACAGCTTTAACAACAGTTGAACATTACAGATATGTCTCATTAAAAGACTACATGACATTGTAGAATTTTTGAGGATTAATGTTCGAGTACATATTAGTGAAATCTTTGATGTCTAATAACAAAGAAAATACTCCTGTTTGTAAATGTAGGGTCTAGCTAGTTACCCATCATTAGCATAATCAATCTTAAGCTGGAGGGGATTCACTCCTCAAGCTAACTGACATCTCGTGCACGCTGTTGTCCTTCAGTAAGACACCTGGAGCCACTTAGTTCCCATTTAGAACTTTTATTCAGCCTGTCACCGGTTTCGCTTGTGTGGCTTCTTCAAGTGTACATGTATAGAGGCTAAATGACATTCATTCTGGCATTCATGTAGTTCCTTCCGCATTCATTGCGTTTTGCTGCAGTGTGATGTGCTGCACCAGTGCTATATACTAGTAGATGGTACTGTATATGCTACCCATATATATGTGGGCCCCGCAGGACAAGGGTTAAGCTGACCAATGTTTAAACTATATTTTACATTGTAGATCCGTTTGCGAGTGTGAGTTTCCTGACTCAGAGCCAGGAGACAGAGGTGGTACAGAACAAGCTGAGCCCTGTGTGGGACCAGACTCTACTGTTTGATGAGATTGAGATCTATGGTGACCCCGCCAACATGGAACGTGCCCCACCGCACGCTGTGGTGGAGCTGTTTGACCATGACAGCTTTGTAAGTATCAACTGTTTTATAAAGCTATCCTGATCAGGGCTCGAAACTCATTTTTGGGAGTAGGTGCACCTGCAACCTAAAAAATTGAGTGCACAAAATTAATGCACCATATAAAATAAAGTAGAATGTCAGCAAAACTAATTACGTTTCATTTTTAAAGAAAAATTACTTTTTTTTTTATTTTCTTATTTTTCTGACACTGAAATGTCAAGAATATGCTGTGTAGTAGTATTATACATTTAACATCTTTACATATTACGTAAACCTACAAAAATGCCCCCACAGATAATTGGGTGTACAGCTCCACTTTTGGGTGTGCCAGGGTGCATATGCCCCCATATTTCAAGCCCTGCTGATTTATTTACAGCTTTGGCATTACACCTGGCTCAAAATACTGCCAATGTACTACTGTTTGCTATAGACTATAGAGGAATGTTATGTTATGTGTTGACTTGTAAAGTAGAAGACTGACTACTGATATAAACATAGTAATGTCCTTTGTGTTCCTCGCTGTCGGACTCAGGTTTATAAAACCAGCTTTATTCCACATACATCTTCACTTTGGAACCAGCTACCCCAGACAGTCAGAGACGCCAGCAACCTTGCTGCTTTCAAGAGAGCGAGTAAAAAGCACCTGTTGACCACGAGGCATCATCAGATGTACCGTACTTTAGGCTCAAGACCGAACAACATACGCACTACCAGGTTACGCGTGGGCTGGTGCCAACTGAACAGTACACTATACAAGATGAAGATCAAGGGCAAAGCATGTGTCTGCGGTTCTTCTTCTGAAACAGTCCAGCACTACTTATTACATTGCCCCCTATACTCTGACCATCGCAGCAGACTTACTGCAGCTGTTGAACGACTTGTCCAACAACGTCCCACCGTTTCCCTCCTACTTCAAGGTTCACCAGACCATGACCCTATTATCAATAAGCAACTTTCAGATGCACTTCATACGTTTATAACATCTACAAAAAGATTTACTTCCGGCTGATCCTCTGCTTTTCCATATTGTACTAAGTTCTAGTTTTTACGGTATTTACATGCCTTAGCACCTTTCTAATTTTAGCTATTTTTGTATATAGATGTACATGATTCTTAGCTCTTTCTTGTTATTCAATTGTATTTGCTGTTTGACATGTATATTGTATGTATGTATGTATATTCTATGTATGTGGTCACGCCATCAGCTGATTAGCTGCCTTGTGTCCACATTGTATTGTCTTCGTCGCAATTTCAATAAATAAATAAATAATGTCCTTACAGGGTAGTCCTGAGTTCCTGGGCAGAGCTGTCACCACGCCGATGGTCAAACTCAGCTCTGCTGACTCCCGCTCTCCCCGGCTGGAGTGGTTCCCGGTCATGAACGGCACCAGACAGTGTGGGGAAATACTGGCCACATTTGAGCTCTTCCTGGTACACTTGTAGTTTTTTCTGTTTATATCTGACAGTCTACAATACAACACAGTGTAATGCGAAATGTGCAAGAATTTGGAGTCCCTGAACAAAACTTGAAACTGTGCCAATTCCATAATGCAGTATTTCAATTCTTGAAAGCGGCGCACACGGTTCCGGCGAAACACGTTCAAATTATTCCATGGAACATATGGAAGCCCATGTAATAACCAAATAGAACCCTGGGCTGTACTGCTTAAGTTATCACACAGGCTGGAACACCTGTATCAAACACTATGGAGGCCCAGGTATAGCATAAGCCCTGTTTAAATTGGCATAAAAACCACTTTGTAGGAGATTGCAGCACCTGGTGGAGAATCCTACAGTTAATTTCAAGAATTGATTTTTTTTAGTAATAGCCAACTTCAGAGCTAATCCTGATTTTGAATTCAGACAAGTTATCATCAAAACTGTTGAATACAAACAATTATGAAAGACAACTATAATATACATGTATGTAAATGCACTGTAAATATACTGTAAATGTATGCTGAGTAAAATTATCAATTGATATTGTCTTGTGAAGTTTCTGAAGGATTTTTTGCTGTGATTTTTTCAGGCTGATGATGATGAGCTACCGTTCCTTCCTCCCAAACGTGGGGAGGTGTACAGTGTTCCCCCGGACATCAGACCCCTGATGCAGCGCACGGCAATAGAGGTAAGATTGCTGTTTTGTGACATTAGACATGTACTCTGGTTAGCTTCCACATTTTGTGTAATGAGGTAAGCAGGGCTTGAAATACCCACATGCACCTTGCAATTTCAAAGATTTGCATGTAAAAATGATATTCTGAACATGCAATTTTGCATGTTTGACATATATGATTGAAGTGTGTTCCCTTCATAATAATGGTGCTGCTCTAAAGAAATTGTTGCTATTACAGCACTGCTATACTCATTTTAAAATGTTGGGTGTTTGGTTCCTATTTTTACGGAATTCTATGATTTTTCTCAAGTTTTTCGAAATTTTGCATTCAGATCAAGTTGCTATAATCATTTTCTAGTATACAAAACAGCGCTGCATTGTCATAGATTCCATTTTTGTCTTTTAAACTGGTCTTAGGGTTGCATAGCAATATGGGTAATGGGTGAAGTATGCCATTTTTGTGCTTTTCTTTAGAAGAAGGTATGTGATTTTATCAACTTCTACCTACTACAATTTACATAACTTGTATTATACAGAAGAATGCCAACAACAACAATTATACATACAGTCGTACATGTACAATCATCCATGTATTTGAGTATTGACAATTCAATGCCATTCTTCCTACAGGCTGTATGCTGGGGAGTTAGGAACATGAAGAAATACCAGCTCTCCAGTGTCAACTCACCAAGTGTTCAGCTGGAGATAGGAGGGAACATCCAGGAGACAAAAGTCATCAAAAGTCTCAAGAAAAATCCAAACTTCGAAGAGCCCCACCTGTTCTTCGATGTGGTGAGCACAAGTTAATCTGCAATATTTCCCATCTTTTATGGTATACATGTACATTGTAATGTCAGAGCACACTGCCAAGTAGCAGTACAGTAATATTAACCCTCACAATGTCACAGTGTATCCTCTACGACTACCATTTTTAAGCCACATCAATTTGATTTGTCAGTTCTTGGATTTTTTTAGAAAAAAATATGAAGCGACAGCTACAGGCAAAAAAAAATAAATACAACCTGCCTAGGCATTGTATGATAGCCCAAAATGCTATGAAGTTCAAGTATGATAGGAGCCATGAAGTCAACATATCAGGCTGAATTGCAGGCAAACAATGAATTTCAAACTTGTAATCAAATCACTGCATTGATAGATGGAAAAACTGTAACAACTCTGAAGAGAAGGGACTTCCTTCAACTGTTGGGGCCAAAAGAATTTTTGATTTGATTCCGAACCTGAATGTTTTTTTCAAATCAGAAAAAAATGAAGCAAGCGTATCCGAGAATCAACAAATTAAATTGGCGAGGCCTTAAAAATCAGTAAAGAGCTACTAATGCAGTATTCACTTAACAGTAATCACTTGATACACTAATTATACCTGTACTTGTATGACTATAATCACATGACATGAGTTTTTTATAACATGGACCCTGTTACCAGGGACTGTATAAACCTCTTTAAATTTTGTCTTGGTGTATATTGAGACATATCATTATCCATAATTTTTTGATGGTTTCTTCCTCCAGTATCTGCCTAAAGAGGACCTCTACATGCCTCCTGTCAACATCAAGGTTTTCGACAACCGACAGTTTGGCCGCAAACCGCTAGTGGGAGTCCACATGGTGAGGTCACTACGAGACTTCATGGCAGAGACAGCGGGCCAGCTGGCAGATACTACCGAACCAGCAGGTACGGACACTACTGCACATTCATTAATGTTGCTGGGACATGTGAAACAAATAAGTGTAACAGGGGTTCAAGCGCCACTACCTGACCCATTCCAATGGGTCCGGACCTTTTGGAGTAGTTGTTAGCACACTGGTGTTGTAAGCTGACTGCCCGGGTTCGGCGCGGGTTTGTTTCCTGGCGTCCCGGGAGACAGGGGTTTTCCTGTTTCTACTTGCTCCTATTTGTTTCACTGGTTCTACACCGGCCCTGTGAGTGATGGCTAACTGTGCCAAACAGGGATATCAAACTCTGAGATTCGAGAACAAATTTTAAAAGAAGAGGGGGAGTAGTGTAACAAGGGGGTTGAAGTTCAAGCACCACTGTCCCATTCCAACATGGTTGAACAAGTCTCTTGTACAGGTAAATTTTTAGTGAAACTATTTTTCACAAATATGAATTTTAAGCCCTCCATGTAGCAATTAAGTAATTCCTTAACAAAGGATTGCTTGCTCATATCAAAATTGGGAGGAAAATGGATCAAGTGTGTAACACTTGTTTTGTCCCCATTCATCATCATTATCCCCATTATTCAATTGTAACAGTTCTACTTCAATGAATGACCTGTACCAACTCCTTTTTTCAGTACTGCCGGCCACCATGGACAACATTTCTCTGGAGATTGAGGGTCCATCAGACCAGACCATTCCACATGAGAAGGTAAGAAAACGTTTTAATCTAGAAGGTAACAGCCTTGCTAGCAGATATAAGCAGATATCAGCCACTGTGTGTAAATTGGGCCTAACTTAATGCTGTTAACATGCAAATTATAGCAGTTAATGTAGTTCTTAAATCAAACAAACTGTTTTTTCTTACATTTCACATCTGACCAGGCTATTCATCTACTGAAGGTAAAATTACCTTGATTGTTGTTGTTGTCTCAATTATGGCATTTTAGGTTGTTTGCTCGTAAACAAAACTGGTTTACCTACCTTTTATCACATGGCTTACTTTTTTAACATTGGCCTTTCCATGTGGTGCTGGGCTCAACACCCAGCTGAGTCATTCCAAATATTGGTATATGGCTTTCCCTGCTAAAAACTCAGCACTTATGAAAAAGTGGCTAAAAGCATACCACTACCAGCTGCTGGGTGGCCCAAGGGCTATAGAAACTGAGAGATTTTTGGCGACACCTTGTGTCCAGTACAGGAATGAGGAATTGTACAGGAATGAGGCATTCTAATCTTCAGGAATGTCTCACAGCTCTGGACACTCATCTACATCTATGCCCACATTCCTACTCAGTGTAATTCCTGGAAACCCTTGGGACATTGTGGTAATTGTAGAGATTCACAACTGAGCAGACACGTGCTGATTCACATCCCTGCCCACTAATATGCAGCATTAGGTGATGTTCATAAAGTAAGCTGTTGAGTTTTCTGAAGTAGTGTAGAACGTTTTCCCCCACGTAATAATTATGATGATATTTCCATTAAAAGGGTCTGTGATGACTGTCTGTGCTGTGTTGTGTTGTAGGGTGGGTCAGCGGCAGAGGGGATGGACTGGTGGTCGAAGTTCTATGCCTCCCTTGGTGGGGAGTATGCAGACAAGTGTGGGGATTACCTACAGACTGGACTGGACACCATACAGGTATGTTCTCCTACTGTAACATTGTATGTTAAAATAAACTTGATCCAACACAGAGTTCACAAGACAGGTCAATAATCAAGACATTTTTTTTTTTTTAATTTTTGGTCCTCTGCCATTGTATTGTTGTGATATTACATGACTTTTTGTAACTGTATGATTTAATGTATTATTATAATGTTTGACTTCACATGGTCAAGCCTAAAAAACTATTGCTCTGTTTATTTTTCCTCATATACATTAATATTCTAGCATATATTGACCATCCCTGTTCTGCTACCTAATGTGACCCAATACCACAGCTGGATGACTCTCATACATCACTGGTTACCATGGTAACAGACGTCTGGTTCAGGTCATTGACCTTAATATGTGTTTGGTCCAGGACATTGACCTTACTGTATATGTTTGGAGAAGAAACTGAGCAGAAACAATCCTTTTTCCTTCATCCTTCAATAGAATAAAGATATTCCATGCCATCTGTATGTCAGGTGTATCCCCATGAGTTGGAGAAGGCTGAACCGTACGGTGGGTTCCGTGACTTCTGCAGCACCTTTCCTCTGTCACGAGGGAAGACTGATGAGGACGAGGAGGCAGAAGAGGTGGTGGGAGAGGTCAAGGTAAGGCGTTAACACACACCAGTTCTTCCATGATAAATGGCAAAATTCTGGTAAATGATGGAAAGATGGGCACTGGCTAGAACACTGGACAGGTCTACTGTAAGTTTATCAATCTTGTTGTAATCAGGGAAAGGAGGTAATGATTGCAGAGTGGGCAGGTCACCATCAAAGCTGCAAAGTTAACATAAAACCACCACGTTGGGTTGGAAGATTTACAGGACTTCAGAAAAAAAAATAAGAACAGTGCATCTAGTAAGAAGTTGCAGTCATCCCCTAATTACACCTTGCTAAGTATTTTTTTTTCATTATCCAGGCCACCTTCAGGATATACCAGCTCCCCCCGGATCCTAAAGCCGATTTGCCGCCGCGCTTGTTGGGGAACCTGCCCGGTACTGGAGCGGAGGAGTGCCTGGTCAGGATCTACGTCGTCCGCGGGATGGACCTGCAGCCGCAGGACCAGAACGGCCTGGTACGTCCTTCAGATGACTTTTACGTACATTGTTGTCACTGTCATTTTGTCAATCCTACTGCCAATGCAGTAGCATACTGGGTTGAGTGCTCACTATACATGAGGAGTTGGTGACCTGACCAGTTCATTTTCATAATTACTTAGGTCACATTTACTTAATAAAACTAGTGCATGCAGGCGAATTTAAAAAAAATTCCAGCCCTCCCCCCCCACCCAAATGCTGCTAAATCACAGGAATACAAAGCTGGTATTGTGAACTTGTGGTACATGCTGCCCTTTTGCAGCACTTATGAGTTAGCACTGTACTTAGTTCTTTAGTTCCGTGGAGCTGACATATCGAAAGCCAGAGACACATTGAATCTTGTTTTAGAACCTCTTTCTTTGATCGTGCTTACAAATAAATTCTATGTTGACTCCTTCCAGTCTGATCCATACATCAAGATCAAGTTGGGAAAGCACAAGATCAGTGACAGAGACAACTACATCCCCAAAACACTGGACCCCGTCTTTGGCAGGTAAAATTCATGTCAAATGTTCACATTTCATAATCCTCCAAATGCCGCAAAAGTTTGAAATTCCTGACATTTACCAATATTTACTACAATAGATTTTTTTGTTAATCATGCAAATTAGGTCTTAATTTGCATATTGTACATTTTATCAATGTCAATCACCTCTTAAGCGTTATGTGCATACCAAAAATCACAATGATTGATCCCTACAAGACATATTTAATGCTGCGTTCCTTTGAAATTCATAAATTCTTGCTGATTGATAACATACTACATGCATTAGGCTCACCACAGAGGTGTTGCCAAAAATTACAAACTTTACACTACTGACCCTTCGGTATAACTTTCTCCTATTCGGGAACTGATTTCAAAGTGATACGTTGTTGCCATGGTTACAGGATGTACGAGATGAACGCAACCATTCCCGTGGAGAAGGACCTGACCATCACGGTGCTGGACATGGACCTCATCAGTTCGGACGACCTGATTGGTCAGACCATGATTGACCTGGAGAACCGCCTGCTGTCCCACCACAGACCCACCTGTGGCCTCCCCAAGACTTACTGTGTGTAAGTAGCCTTGTATTGGTTTGTTTGTTTGTTTGTTTGTTTGTTTTGTATTTGCATATAGTCAAACACAGGAAAAAAACTTCAAAGTCATTAACATGCACACTTGTTGCCTGGTGATGACTTGGAACAATCATCAAGCTTGCACAGTGGTGACTGCTAATAAAAGTGCTATATATTAGGAAGTTTGCCTTGTTCAAACTTTAAGGTTAACTTAAGGTTATCATATACGCATTTTGAAGTTTTCACCTGAATGTAAGGCCACACCTATTTATTTTGTTGGTTTCTGGATTCGCCCGCTTTTTTTTTTTCTGATTTCCACAAAAAAAAGCATTTCAGGGTCTGAAGCAACACCAAAATGCATGCTCGGAGAACCCATAAATCAAATTTGTGTGGCCTTATAATCATAATAATGGCATATAGGTGTATTTTGAACTTTTCACTTAAATGAATGTAAACTGGACTTTTTTTCCTCACCCAAATTTGTGCTTCTGCAGGAGCGGCCCCAACAAATGGAGAGACCAGCAGGACCCCAAGACAATCCTGGAGAACCACGCGCGCCGGCGGAATCTCCGGGGACCCGAGTACGAGGGAACCAACCGACTCCACCTGGGCAACAGGGTCTACAGTCTGGAGCAGTTTGGTAAGCTTCAATTCTGTTATCTTGAAAGTTCATCTCCGTTGGTAGAAGTCATTATGAACAAGATTGAACTGTGATTTCCAACACAACAAAAAATGGGACTCACTGAAAGACTGGAGTTGTACAGTCGAAAATTTGGGTGAGTCCAATTTTGAGTCCAACTATGTACTACTTTTGTTGTGTTGGAAATCACAGTGCAATGATGTTCAGTCTACTGAGGAAGACCAGAGTGACTCAGGTCGAAAGCTCTAGGTGAGAGAACTTTTTGTGTTGGATCTAAAGTTTTAACCAACACAGATGAACTTTCATGATAGTACAGTTCAATCTTGTTTATAATGTCAATTCTGTTTGTTAAAAAGTTAGAATTTAAGTCCCCCCCGCAATCATTAGCATGGTCGCGTAGGGCAGCCTCCATCTCCATTTTGTTGCCCTTGGGCCACACAATTGTACAATCACTACAGCAAGGGGCTAGTCCACTGGTAGTGGTGTGTGTTTAACTCCCACAGAGAAAGCAGTATTTACCATTGGTATGACTTGGCTTGGGATCGAACTCATCACGACCTACCAAATGGAAGGCGAGCACTCTAACCACCTGGCCATTACACCAACACTGTTTGTGGCTCAGTAAAAATCACCAGTTGTGAGGTCACAGACGTTGGTACAAGCCCCTAGAGGTGGCTACTACTGAGCAGCCAAGTCAGATTTAACAGATTGCACAATAAATTTCATGGATAAAGAACAAATCTTTAAAACTTTTGGCGTTTTTTTGTCCTTTGAATTATATTCCAATGAAAGAAAAATGGTTACACATCTCCAATCTTACACATCTCCAATTAATGTCTTGTAGAAAGGGGTCCTATTTTTTGGTAGTTTTGGCTAAATGTTCTCTTGTAGATGAACACTAGGCAACCCAAGTTCTTTTGTCTGTTGTGATCCTGTAGAGGAGAACAGTATTCTCCATGGAGACCTGGGCCCAGCCGACCAGAGGTTAGCTCTTCACGTCCTGCAAGCGCAGAACCTGGTCCCTGAACATGTGGAAACTCGCTTCCTCTACAACCCACTACAACCTGAGATCCCACAGGTAAGGACTCACTCTACAGCCCACTACAACCTGAGATCCCACAGGTAAGGACTCAATACAACCCACTACAACCTGAGATCCCACAAGTAAGGACTCACTCTACAACCCACTACAACCTGAGATCCCACAGGTAAGGACTCAATACAACCCACTACAACCTGAGATCCCACAGGTAAGGACTCAATACAGCCCACTACAACCTGAGATCCCACAGGTAAGGACTCACTCTACAGCCCACTACAACCTGAGATCCCATAGGTAAGGACTCACTCTACAACCCACTACAACCTGAGATCCCACAAGTAAGGACTCAATACAGCCCACTACAGTCTGAGATCCCACAGGTAAGGACTCACTCTACAACCCACTACAACCTGAGATCCTACAGGTAAGGACTCACTCTACAACCCACTACAACCTGAGATCCCACAGGTAAGGACTCACTCTACAACCCACTACAACCTGAGATCCCACAAGTAAGGATTCACTCACTCTACAACCCACTACAACCTGAGATCCTACAGGTAAGGACTCAATACAGCCCACTACAGCCTGAAATCCCACAAGTAAGGACTCACTCACTCTACAACCCACTACAAATTGACGCATGTCCAACCTTTGCTCCTCCGATAGTAGTTATAGGACAGCCCCTTAATTGTAAGCAACTGATCCCAGATGGGGGGACCAGCTGTCCCCCATCTGAATCCAAGCAGAGGTTGGTGGGGGAAGATTGTTATATATTTAACACAAAAGGTCCACTGCAGCGACGTAGGGATCCCCCACGAGACCCATTTTTAAAGTTGACCTTGGCCTCTACAATGGTAGCTTGCCTACCAAAAATCATGAACATCTATTTAAATATACTTGAGTTATCCTGCTAACAAGCGACAAACACAGAAGGTCCACTGCAGTGACATACGGGCCCCCCACAAAGCCCATACTTGCTCTTGACTTCGGCCTCAACAACGGTAACCTGCCTGCCAAAAATCATGGATGTCTATTCATGCCTTCAAGAGTTATCCCGCTAAATCTGCAGTCACCCACAAGGCGGGATGATTCCATAGTCCTTCTGACGAAGACAATGATAAGCACTGCCTTAACCTGTAAAGTACTCAGTCTGTACTTTCTGCTTCTCAGAATCGTTCTGTCTAACTCACGACTGATCCTTCCTCCCCTGTACATGTAGGGAAGGCTACAGATGTGGGTGGATATCTTTCCCAAGTCATCCGGTCCTCCCAACCCTGCATTTGACCTGACACCAAGGAAACCCAAGAAGTAAGCACTGAAATTTTCATTATATGATGTATTTTTAGTTTTTTTTACCTTCGCCAAGAAGGTTATGTTTTCGTTGGCGTTCGTGTGTGTGTGTGTGTGTGTGTGTGTGTGTGTGTGTGAGCACGATAACTCAAGAAGGCTAAGATGGATTGTCTTGATACTTAGTAGGTGGGTAGGTCTTCATGAGACGTGGAACTGATTAGATTTTGGGCCCCCTAGCGGCTTGTTATGGTACTGCAGCTAAACTTCCGGTTTTGATATCTCGTGATCTAGACGTGCTAGGGTGACGAAATTTGGTTGGAAGGTAGCTCTTGTGCTGGGGAACTAGTGACGTGAGTTTAGGCCCCCTAGTGGCTTGCTCTGGAACTGCAGGGGCATTAGTTGAAAAATGTTTAAAGGCGGATAACTCAAGAACCGATTGATGGATCGTCGTGAGTTGTGGCATGTAGGTAGCTGAAGTGATGCTTGACATAATGATATTACAATTATGCAAATATTAATGTAATTTGCATAATTAATGAGGAAATTCTATAAATCAGCTGCATTCCATGATAGGACTATTCAAGCTTGTGACATATGTAATTCAGAACGGCAGAAATACAGGCAGATATCGATTATGCAAATGAAGACTTAATTTGCATAATTAACAAGAAAATGTTATAATTACATAGTGGTAATGTCTGGAATTTCATACTTGGGATATTTGAAAGTTATGTGAAGGTGAACATAATTAAACATAACTTATTCAAATAAGGACCTCATTTGCATAATTTATGAGGACATGCTATAATGGCATTCTTTAATAAGATAAGACTGTCTTCTGGTGTAGAATATGATCAACAGATATAATTGATGCAATATAGGATCCTATTTGCACAATCAGGGGGATTCATCTATAATTTCTTAGTCATAAAGGCTAACATCATTTGGCGAAGGTATGAGATCGTGGAACTCTAGTTTTATAAAGTGAGGCACTCTGTAAGAAAAAGGAACAGAACTTTTTTTGCCATAACTATCGATTGAACATAACTGCAACATGAGTTACTCACACATATAAACCAAGCATGTAATTACAAATTTTGCATACAGGCTGTTGTTAACATGTCTGTATTACCTGGTGCATTGACAACTCACTTGACAGTGTCTTGGTCACTCTTTCAAATATTGTTGCACAAATGCACACAAGAAGCATTTCACAGCCTCACCACTGAATTGCATGCTCCTTTATAGATTTCTTAAAAACAGAATTCTGGGTTAATCTAAAATTACAATAAAAATTCAACAACAATTAGAATTTAAAACAATGTTCAGCTGTTCCCCTAAGCCTGAGAATTTGTTGTTTGCTGCAGGTATGAGCTGCGTGTGATCGTGTGGAACACCAGTGATGTCACACTGGATGAGACGTCAATCACAGGCGAACAGATGAGTGACATCTATGTCAAGGGGTAAGTACAATAACCTAAAGATGTTATGTAGCAACATCTTAATCTTAATGTGCAACTTACCGTCGTGGGTCATCCTACAATTTTGATGCTATAGGATTTTAAACCAGGGTGTGAAAACTTCTTCAGAATGAGTTCTGTGGTGAAATTGAACAAAAATTCTGTTGAATGAACTATTTTCTTAAAGACACTGAACCTTATTTTCTAGGTGGATGGCAGGGATGGAGGAGAAGAAGCAGAGCACCGATGTTCACTACAGGTAAATTTTCCACCACTCTTTATATGGGGCATTGTTTAATATGGGCATTACACTGGGTCCTGGGGTGTTGTATGATGGCACCAGGTGTTCAGCACCAAGGACAGCAACTTCTTAACACAGACCGTAACATATATGGCACAAAAACCTGCTCAAACATGATGCTAGAGATACTTTTTTGATACATGTGTGTAGGTAAGACTAGTGCAATTTAGCTTTGCTAATACAATTTAGCCAAGCAGACTAGCTGGTTCACCTCAACTCTTCTCAACAAGTGTGCTTGCTTTTTTTATTCCAACATGTAATCACACGAGACATGGTGATGGCACACTCAGTATTTTTAAACTAATTTTTATGCTGCCACCAACACAAGGGGCAATACAATACTAATTTCCACCTGAGTGAAGTGAAGAAAAGTAATGTGAAGTGCCTTTCCCAAGGGATCTAGACCGGCAGGGTTCAAACCTGGTTCTCAGAGACAAACACTCTGCTGTTACACCACACAACCCCATGTTATGCCACACAAACTCAGTTCTTGTGAAAAATTAGATCATTACTGTGATCACAATAATGGCATTGCCATTGTCTGAAAGCCTGCATGGCGTCCTCCATACTTTCCACTGGCTCCCTAATGTCACTGGCTATCACAGAGTCTGGACTTGCTGATATCCATAACGACTTGAATCTGAATAGCCAGTGGCATTAGGGAGCCAGGGGAACTAAGGAAGATGCCATCCAGGCTAATTGTCTGATCCACCTGTGACCTATTGTATTCCAGGTCGTTGGACGGAGAAGGAAACTTCAACTGGCGCTATGTCTTCCCATTTGAGTACCTGCCAGCTGAACAGGCTGTGTACATTTCAGAGAAGGTCAGAATCAAATTATTAGATATTTTCAGGCATCCAAGAATTCTTTGCATCCTAACAGCCAGCCTTTGATTAGTTTTACCAATCAGGCTTTACCTATGAGTTTGATTATTTGATTGACAGGAGCACTTCTGGAGTCTGGATGAGACCGTCAGTCAGGTTCCTCCTAGACTCACTGTGCAGGTCTGGGACAACGACAAGTTCTCCTTTGATGATTTCCTTGGTAAGTTCTTAATCTCTTAATCTCTTTTTTCTTCAAAATCCTTCTAACAGTCTCAAGTTTAACTTTGGAATTCCAGTTTACCCATTTTGACAAGTGCTAATATTTCAATATAAATTAATGAACTTGGTAATAAGTCATATGATACATATGATTGACAAGTTTGATGTACAGTTGTGAAATATCGTAAAAAGACATGGCAGACAAATGGAACTTTGTCTACGTTTTCTTCTTGGCCATAAATGTCATCATTTTGTTACCTACAAGGAATGCTATGGGAGCAGAACAAGTTAAAAGAGAGAGAAACCATGGACACTGTATGTGTCATTAGACCACAGCAGTTTTATCTTTGATTTTTGGATTTCAGTTTAATGCTAGGAGGCAAGGATAACATTAGAAAAGAGTCTGACAGGAAAGTTTATACACACGGTTGTAGGGAGTGAATAATACTAGTCAGATGGTAGTTTTTGTCCCTATTTTCCTGTCGAAGGCTTCATGACGTTATATGTAAAGAACCAAGTGTGGCCTTATAATTGTGTCATCATACATTGTAAGTTCATTTGAATTAGTAGCACTTAAATTTTCCAACAAGGAAAAATCCAGAGTTAGTAATGTCTGTAAGTTAGCAGCTGATCACAACAAATTTGACAGCAATTCACAAACAACAGCAGTCATGTCACGGTTTATAGTTATACTGTAGTCCCTTCTTTTGCTGCTCTCTCCAGGCACGTTGACCCTGGATCTTCACAAGATGCCAGTTCCCACCAAGACGTCAGGAAAGTGCAGCATCAAGCAGCTGCAGGGGGGCAAAACTGTGGACCTGTTTGAGCAGAAGAAGTGCCGCGGATGGTGGCCGGCTTATCTGATAGACGAGGACACCCAGGAAATGACTCTCACTGTCAGTACTTGTTTGACTTGTGATAATGTCCCACAGCCAGTAATGTTACATGCAACTATCCTACTACATGTACATGCAGGGCTTGAAATACTGGGTGCATGTGCACCTTAGTGCACCCAAATTTGGAGCTGGGCACCCAATTTTGTAGGTGCACCAGTGCACCAAAATATTTTCGTAGGTTGACATATGTAACAATGTCAACTGTATAATAATAGTATACAGCAATTTCTTAACATCTAAGTGTTAGAAAAATAATAAAATCATTGCAATAGTACTTATTTTATCTTATTTGGTGCACCCAAAAAGTTTTTTGTGCACCTAATTTTTTAGGTTGCACCAGTGCACCTATTCCCAAAATGAATTTCGAGTAAATACTCCAGGACCTATATAATCTGCACGGGGCAGGTAGGGAACATCAATTTCATAGAAAAATGAGATGTTAATTTAGCCCATTGTGTTGAGTAATGTCTAGTAGCACACACGTGACAGAAAACATTTCTTGGATTTATTTAAAGTTCAACACTCTATAAGTGGCAGTCTGCACACCAAGTTTGTCCTGGCTATGCTAATGGAGTTCAACAAACTCTATGTTGTCTCCAGGGTAAAGTGGAGATGACAGTGGAAGTGCTGCCAGGAGAGGAGGTAGACGCACGGCCTGCTGGGAAGGGTCGCGATGAACCCAACATGAACCCCAAGCTGGATGACCCTCAGTGAGTTTTTTTTCCTGTTTTTCTGTGCAAGAATACATTTGCAGTTACTGTAATTACAGTATCTCTTCAACATATTACAACAGCAGGATAGTATTTTTATGTTTACCTTCACAGAAGAAAAATATTGTTTTTGCTCTGGTTTCTTCTTCTCCAAACACATAAGGTCAATGATCTGGACCAGACGGCTGTCACCATGGTAACTGGTGCTGTAGCAGACACTACATGGTGTTGGATTACATTATGAAGCAAGTTGGAAGGGCAGGTCACCATACATAAGAATGATGAATGTGTTTGAGTACGAATAAGCAGCAATAGTTTGTTAGGTAACGTTAGACCATGTGAAGGTAAACATTATGCATTGCCTTAGTTTCTAGTGTTCATATAATTGTATTGTTGATGTTTACTTTTGATTCCTCCTCAGACGGCCCGAGACTTCCTTCCTTTGGTTCACCTCTCCCTTTAAGACGTTCCGTTACATCGTCTGGAAGAACTACAAGTGGTACTTCATCGGATTCCTCATCCTCCTTATCATCGTCATCCTGGCTGTCATCTTCATCTACTCCTTCCCGGTAAGGCTTTTGATGGACGTGAAGTTTAAATACTCAATTACAGTCAAACTTGTGTAAGACCCAGGGGACAGAATGGGAAGCAAAAGACAAATATGTTTCAACAATGTGTGTGTGTGTGTGTGCGTGTGTGTGTGTGTACAATGTATGTTTGTGTATGAGTGAGCATATACATGTATGTGTGTGTGTGTGTGTATGTGTGTGTGTGTGTGTGTGTGTGTGTGTGTGTGTGTGTGTGTGTGTGTGTGTGTGTGTGTGTGTGTGTGTGTGTGTACAATGTATGTTTGTGTATGAGTGAGCATATGTGTGTGTGTGTGTACAATGTATGTTTGTGTTTGAGTGAGCATATACATGTATGTATGTGTGTGTGTGTGTGTGTGTGTGTGTGTGTGTGTGTGTGTGTGTGTACAATGTATGTTTGTGTATGAGTGAGCATATACATGTATGTGTGTGTGTGTGTGTGTGTGTGTGTGTGTGTGTGTGTGTGTGTGTGTGCAAGCATGTGTACATGTGGAGTAATCCAACATAAACAACATATAAGAGCAGAAGTAGAAGACTTAATATAAATACCTATATGCTGAAGGAACAGAAAATGTATGTATTAATTATTTGAATTTATCGCTATAACATGACTGAAACCATTTCACCAGATTGTGCTTATTTTTTGTCCATGAACTGTTTTACAGAGTTTTGCTGCTAAGAGGCTGGTTGGTGCATAATGAGGACGACTGGATATTTTCTCAGGCCTACATTTGGGAAAGGGCAAGAAGAAGACCAGACAACAACACACTTAATATATACAAGGCTGTTAAAGGGTGTATCATAAGCACCAATACTATTTTGTGTTACAAACTTCACTATAGATTTGCTGTTTGGGACCATCACAGCATAAGTAATCTCTAATTTTATCATAATATAAGAAATAATTCTAAAAGCAATGCAGCATACTTTTACATTTACCTACACTTTGCAGTAGGTTTTGAAGAAATATTCTGGGCAGACCTACAAGTAAAAAAAATAAAATAAGAGAATGGAGAATACCACATACTGTTCCCTAGAGTAGAGTTAGTTGCACTATGGTGCTATCTAGGATGGTGCAACCAGCAAACATTTCAGGTCACATTTTTACAAAAGACAGAGATGGTAGGGAATCAAACAAGCCACCAAAACTCATTGGTCATTGAGATGTTTTAGACATAGGTCAAGGCAATAATGAGCATTTACTGAAAGAGTGTTGAGAAAGCTGCCCAGTTTCTTCAATGCAGAATTTAAATGTCTCTCAAAGCCTTTTCTATCTGGAATGCCCACTTAAGTGAGACATTGGTCTGCTTAGTGAACCTGTCCACACTTTCCTCTGATATGTTGCTGTAGCTGTCATATCCTTCCATTGTACACCATATATGTGGAATTATGTTTGTTTTGTAAAGGAGAAAGTTATACTTGTGTTGGCCGTAATATTTGCTAATACTCATGGCCTCCGTAACAACATATATTAAAACGTATAAGAAATGGAATTAAATATCTTTTTATGTTTTAGTCAATATTTTATAATATATAGGGTGTAGTTTCATCCTGTAGGTTTAGCCATTTCCTGCAAATCTGTTGAAGTGAGCTGCTCTGTATCCTGTTTTTATTACCAGTGTCCATAAGTTGGCTGTTCTGTAGCAGTATGGTCTCACTTGTGGTGGATCTTTGCACAATTTTGATGCCGTAGAATTTTGAAGCAGACTGTAAGGGAATGAATTGTTGAAAGGGATCTTAACCAGGCTTTTCCACAACGGGACAGCTGAAGTTTCACAGCTCGCAGACACATGCACGACTTTCTTAAGATTTGCCCAAGTTTGGATTCATGCCACAATTGCATGACCCAAATTTTTTCTGTGTGATATCTCGGGCTAATGGTGGCAATATTCTTCTGACAGGATGTTTTATGAACTTTAAGAAGTGCCTTTTTGCAAGGATGTGATGCAAAGTAATGTCATAGCTGAAGTAAAATAGGATGTGGATATTTAGATTTGACAAAGTCTGCAAAATGACATCTATGCATGTGTTTATTTGAAGAGCAAAGCACATGTACAGGTAGGCATTCCTGTTGCACAAAAACATTTGTCCATTATCTATGACTTTGCCTCTATGTTGTTCTGGACGTTACGTTATTACACCAACTCCTACAGGAATGCCAATGTTATGTATTGTCACACTATACCAAAGGTTCTCAATACAAGATAGAAAATTTCATTTCACATAATAGATAGTATTACAGAAGTTGAACGTTTCCAAAATTTTGTGCTACATGTAACGTTATGTGATAGTTTGTAACTTGAGTCAATGACTAAAGCAAAATATAGACACAATCACGTAAACAAAAAGATGATTTAGTTGTGAGGTTATGATGTTAAGATATCTCCACTCTTACTGTACTACTACATTTCATAGTTTGTAGGATGCCAGATCATAGATCTTTTTACCTATTTGCATTAGACTGATAATTTAGAGTTTTTATGAAGTAGCTAAAGAATTATTATGGCATTTAGTATTAAATTTTATTTACTTTTTTAGATTAATAGTAGTACATTGTACGTACAGTTACATGTATTTATGTCAGTGAATCACTCATGTTTTTATGTTCCTATCCAGAGAGTGAAGGATGCAGAGAATTCTTAGTTTTGAATGAAGGAAAATTGCTAAATATGCACGATTCAAAGTAGAGTGAAAAAAAATTGTGTGCCAAAATAGTTCATGTGGATGCAGAGAATATATCTTGATTTCCAATTTGAATCTGATCATAGTTATTCAAAATCATCTACTTTTAGCAAACCTCATTTAAAGCATCATCAATAAAGCAGTCTTCTTCAACCATGTGTCTGGAACTGTCTTTAATGATTATGACGTTTACTTAGTGACATTACATAGAAATAGAACATCCATTTCAGTTGGGTTAAACTCGCTTTACAATGAAACTTCAAATAATCCTAGATTCTCGTATGTGATTTTTTTATTATGTCCTGCTAAATCGGAATTTGTCCGCGATGCAAAGTACGAGACGGTGTCTAGATTATACAGGTTTCGGACTGCAGTTTTCATGTAGGTCGCCAGGATGCAGTGTTGGAAGGCGTGTTGCGCACAGTCAGATCTTGGACTAGGAGGATTAGTGGCCTGCGGTATTAAATCTTGAACAGATACTCTTGTGTCATTTCAATCTATATACTTGGCCTCGAGCTCCGCAAGGGCCGAAACAATGTACTTGGGCATGCCCAACACTACGCGGGAAATGCTTCTCGCTGTAGGGGACCTGTGTTATTTAGCCTGATTAAATCGCTTTACGGTTGCCGGTCGCCAAACATCCAGCCGGTCCCGTTAATCGGTTAGTTTGAAAACAGCATCACTCCTGCAAAGATAGGGGTTTCTTCATGATGTTTGGTACACATGTTACTGTTGTGGAGACCAAGGTCAACTTTTAAAATGAGACGGGGCTAGACTATGAGTGGCGTTTTTGAAGAAGTAAACAATATCCAGCGTCAGATTATTAGTTCAGCACCAAGGACAGGAAAGGTACAGTGCGGTTACAGAAAAGCGCCACCATGCGACGGCCAACAAATATGGTGTCTGACATACCAGTAATAGAAAAGACGTGTTCGAGTCAACGGACGTGTCCAGCTTGGGGTAAGTGACTGGATTTGTTAGGTTACGGGGGTAGATAAATGGCTTGTTCAAAATATGATATAATAAACGCTTTTTAAGGCACCCGAAGCTATTTGAGGGCAGTAAAACTGGATTTACAGTTTAAAAATCGTCGAAAAAGAGTAGCTGTAGTGTTTGTCGGAGTATTAAAATTGACGAAGCCTGGACAGTTGTGTGTTCGCAGCTGTAACTTGCGATTCCTTTGCGCAAAAAAGAAATTCCCTAGGGAATGCATTGGCGGAATTTTTAGAATATTTTCAATTCGATCGCAGTACTATACCAAGGGCTCCGCCCCCAAGCGTCGCAAAAAAACTGTCAACTTCGATTTATACAACTTCGGATCGATGGATTCGCTTCAAACTTGTTGTGAATATAAAGTGGGAGCACAATCTGGACATAACCACATAAAAAAATTCAGATTCATGCGACGAAGACGGCCACAGAGTGGACATTCGCTTTAAAGTGAAACCGATGAGGTGCGGTCAAAACTGGACATCGACAGTCCTACCTGACCAAAGAGTCTATTCTACTCTGCTCTACTTTATACAGTACGGAGTGCTGGTCAAAAATGGCGGAGGGCAACCAGAGGTCGAGGAAGGTCATTACAGGTCTGAGTGTCCTGGGGATTGAAAAGCGCTACGTGCCCAATAAACATTACGTGAGTATACATATCACACAGACAGGTCGTATAGAACTAGTACAGCTCGACTATGGACAGTGACAATGTCGGTTAATCTCCAAGCAGATTCTGCAAGGGGAGCCTCAGCTCCTGTAACTATGGAGGTGGCCAATGGATACAGGTGGTTCATATAGACTCCCCTTGCCCCACAGAATCTGCTTGGTGATCAACCGACATTGTCACTGTCCATAGTCGAACTCTCGCGGTGCCATACAATGTTAGCTGTACTAGTTCTATACAAGATTAAAAGTAAGTGCTGTCTTTGACCTTGTCCGAGTATTTAGTGCTGGCTTCAAGATGGTCTTGCCACGGTGGGAGTTATCATTATAAGAATGGTTGATCAGTAGCTGTACTCCAGGTGTATTTTAATTGGATTTGTCGTCTGATATTCTTTTTTGTTATATTGCAACATCTAATCACAAGACGTGGTGACGATACACTTAAGTATTTTAAACTTATATTAATGCCACCATCAACACAGGGGACAATACAATACTCATTTTCACCTGAGCGAAGTGAGGAAAGTCGTGTAAAGTGCCTTTCCCAAGGGCACAGGATCGGTGGCATGTCAGGACTCGAACCCGGCACCCCTTGCTTCCGAGTCGAGCACTCTGCCGCTACGCCACACGACCCCACTAATTCAACCATGGAGGTTGAAAAATCACATGTGTTCTACCTCCATGATTCACTTAACAGGGAGCGTAGCAATTAAACATGGACTGGGAGGGTTTTTTCTTCCAGCACAAATCTATTCATCACTTATTTTGCCGCAGGGTAAGTTAGTATCTGTGCTCGTATCTCTTCTGTGGATGTTTTGTCGATAGCCCCCTCACCTAGGACACATGCTGACCATTCTCTGTCACATCCGTATACAAACAGTCCAGTTCTTTACGCACGAGACTAGTAAATATCAATAAGGACAATTAGTGAGAAAGTCGATACTATTGCGATAAAGAATATCTGACTTCTGTAACTATTTCGTATTGTATCGTATTGCCTTGTAGTTCACAGTACGCGTATGGGAGATACTAGAAAACGACCAAAAACGAGAGCAAAAGGACACGACTTATATGGCATATACAAGCTCTCACTATTGTAATATTTGACGTTTTTGTCAAAAAGCAGTTACTCAAGCAACTGGATATGATTTTGGAAACGGTCAGACGTTTCAGGGGAGACCAGAGGAGAAATGCAGGCTTCTAAGCACGGATAAACTCCGACGGATCTTCCAAAAACTTCAACATTGCCACAAACTTCAAACCTCACTAAACCCTCAGACAAAGACCGGTACACCCTAAGGACCGACCTCACAAAGGTATCAAGGCTTTACAGACTCAAATGCGAGGAGCTTAATTGTAACAACACCTACAGCGGAGAGACCAGTCGACCAAAGCCATTTTCCACCACCTACAACACAACCAGGGTCACACTTTCAAACTCGAGTCCACGGATATCTTAGACCGTGAAACACGCTGGTGGGAACGGGGTGTTAGAGAGGCAATATATGAAAGAATGAACAACCCCACCCTTAACAGGAGGGGGGGGGGGGCTACGGGTAGATCTCCCAGCCACTTGACACTTGGCGCTCCCAGCCCCAAGGACAGACAACACTTAAGCTCCTGTTCTACAACAGGAGCTTTGCGACTAATTCGCATCATCTTGTCTTGACTTATCCAACTTTTGTTTCATTTTGGACTTCCCAAAAATTTTCTTCATTTTTTTGCATACCAATGAACAGTTCGTGCTTATAAACGTTAACCTGCATTTCCCCTCTGGTCTCTGCCGAAAGGTTGTACTGGATACTACCTGAAACGTCTGGCCGTTTCCAAAATCATAACCAATTGCTTGAGTAACCGCTTTGGCGTACCTTGTTACCTCTATGTCTATCCGTCATCTACGTATGGCGTTATTGTACCACGTATGTGTAAAATATGTGTATAGATTCATTAGGAATTTAAATAATGTAAACTTTTATATTATGTCTGACCCTTACCTCATGACCTCAATAAAAAGCGGCCCGGTGGAGCTTCTCAAGAATAAAGAATGTTTCAAACAAACTGACCGGTAGTTATTATACCACAGTTGTACATCCTGTCCGTGAAGTGGTCTGAAGGTAGCGAGTTCATCATCTACAGACGATACAGCGCTTTCTTCCAGCTTCATGTAAGTACACGTACGTTGCTTCGGTCTCATCACTCATAACCTCTCCGATGATAACTCCATTCGTAAACAAACTCGACATATGTATACAAACACTTCCTCACTTACCCGCAAATTTGGTCACTATACACACGAGGTAAAACGCATTCTCTTCATATCACACTGTAGTGCAACGTATTTTGCTCAGCCGGAACCATGCATAGGCTACGAGGCATCGCCTATCATGACGGACTAAAAATGCCACTGTCTCAACCGAGAAATACTAGTAACAGCGACCTATTTGTGCAGATGTATTTGTGCAGATGCGTGTTGAAACTGCTGTATTCGTTTGCCTCTCACTTGATAGGGTCTGTTACTTCGTTCGGAGGCTTTTGCCTCCAGCCTGTTCTGGCGACATTACTGTAGATTGGTCCGCCCACCGTAAGGGGGCCTCTCGCGACAGGATAGCTTATTTATCTGTACATACTTCGATGTTTGTTTTTTAGATGTGTTTGTGTCCTTGAGCCTGAAATAAACAATAAATGTAATAGAGCTCTAAACAATTGCGTTGAGCAGTAGAGGCCTCAAAAACGATTGTAGTTCCTACTTAATATATTTATAATAAATATCCTTTTTTCTCTTGAAAATTTTGGTCCAGCTTGAAGATTTTTGGGCTAGAATGAACAGGTAGGGTCTAAACTTTCCTACTTTGGTCAAATTTTGCTCATTTCATAGGTTTAGTGGGTATAATGAGAGACCTGTGTACACCTGAATGATGAGGTCTGGCCTGCCTATTGCGGATGAATACATGATAAAATTAGGTCCAAAGTAGGGTTTGTTGACTGTTGTCAGCTGTTGTCAGAGTTTGAGCTGGTCAACCTCCTATTTTCTTTCTATATTTGGAAAGCAGACCCTTGTGGCTCTTTGATGCAGAAGGAGTTTTGAGATTGAAATGTAAGAAAGTACTTTCATTGGGAGCTTCTATGGGCAAAGGTAATTGTATTGTCTGCCCTATAAGGCCGGACTTGGGCGGAATTCCGGAAGTGAACGGTGGGCCGGGGGGGGGGATATGTGCAACTTGGCAAAGCCTGGTGGTAGAGAAATTATAACGTTTTACAATTCAAGTAAAACTACACAAAAACAAATCTTAAATCTTATTTCAGCAAAAGCTGTCCGAGTTGTTCCCAATAGAGACGGGAGCAGTAAGCAAGAAAGACCAGACGATTCCACCACTACCAAGTAAATATCAACTGAGTAAAATTATTTAACTTAAGTTAGCTCCATGTGTGTGTGTGTGTGTGTCTGTGTGTGTGTGTGTGTGTGTGTGTGTGTGTGTGTGTGGTGTGGTGGTGTGTGTGTGTGTGTGTGTGTGTGTGTGCCTGCGTGCGTGCGTGCGTGCGTGCGTGCGTGAGTGCGTGCGTGCGTGCGTGTGTTGGCCAGTAGGTAGGTTGGTGGTTGTCTGCCTGCCTCGAGCTCAGATTGTGTCTAGCTATGACCTCTCCTTTGATTCTAAACGTGTGAGTGTGTTTTACAATAAATGATCATGAACAAGAAAGTCTCAAATTCTCTAAATATCTCACGATAAGTCAGCGAAGGTTGTCGACAGTGCCACACAGTCTTTAGGGGACAGTCGAAGAGTACACCGCTTTTCCTTGCCTTGCCTGATACGTTATTCGCCCCATCCGCAGAGCAGGGATGGTTCGGAAACGAGAAGTTCAAGGTCGCAGACGAGAGAATGCCGGCGATCTACGAATATTGCCGAAAAGTCACGATGGCCGAGCCGAAGATTTCCGAACACAAGGAGGTGCTTTCCTTCTTCGAGACTCTACCAGAAGACCTGACCCCTCCTCCTCCCGACCCGTATGTAACAGTTTTCTTATTCAGTTATTACCTACTACCTACATGAAAATGTAGGTATTGTTCTGGGGTTACATGGTAACAACTGTCGGCCATAGGACGGTTGAAGTCTGTAATAATTTTGGCTTGAATTCTTGCCCTGCAGGAAGAAACCAAACAAGACGTACCTGACATTCGAGTCAAAAAGCGGAGCTCGAGGAAACAAAGTCAAGGAGAAGTCAGGTATACAATATATCCCCTGTAGAAGACATAGCGCCGGTCGTCCTAACATGGGACGAACTGGTAGTAAATAGTTGGGGCGAAGTGGACTTGGGGCGAATCGGACCGATCATAGCAAATATAATGAATGAATCTTTATTGCATGTTCTTGCCCAGATGGGCTAAATGCACAAGAGGGTATGCAGTACTAGTATGCAAAAACATGAGCATTTCATACTGGTACGCTATATTCTAATGCAAAGTGCTAAGAATCTATACAATACAACAATACTATATACTACCTATCATCTACTGTTAGTTGCCCTTTCTTCTCTCTTTTTGAAACATTTGGAAACATAATTACATAGTTTGTCTACTGTACATTCGTTCTTGCATGATATCAAGTGTTTAAACATGTCCTGCTTTGACATTTTCTTACATAGTACAGCAGTAGTATGAGTTGAACAGAAAGTAATCGAATGTCTCCTATTGCTTTACCTTACTTCGGGCATAATTACCTCCATGAAAAATGGAGGTATTGTTTTTGGCGTGTCTGTCTGTATGTGTGTCTGTGTGTGTGTCTGTGTGTGTGTGTGTCTGTCTGTGTTTCCGCAACTTTGTAGTCAGCATAACTTCAGAACGCCTTTATGGATTGTGATGATATTTGGTATAATGGTAAGTCTTGGAAAGACAAAGGTCAAGGTCAAGTATGGGCCTCCTGGTGGATGGCCTTGGTACTGCAGCAGAAATTCCGGTTTTTGTATCTTTTGTCCTGAACAAGCTATGGTCTTGACTTTTTGGTGACAGATAGCTTATTCTGTCAGGAATAAGTGGCGTAAGTTTGGTCCCCCTAGCAGCTTGTTCTGGAACTGCAGGTTAGTTTCTGGTAAAAAATTTCAAAGCCAATAAGTCCAGATTGGAACAACGTATTTTCATCATTTTTGGTAGGTAGGTACCTGAGAGACTGTTGTACATGATTAAATGCAAATTATGCAAATGAGGACTTTATTTGCATAATTAATGAGGAAATTCTATAATTACAGTGCTTTACATTATGCTACTTTCATACATGTAATGTATGTAAGCTATGGCAGGCGGAGCATCAACAGATACTAATTATGCAAATAATGACCTAATTTGCATAATCAATGCGAAAATTCTATGATTTCTTAATGGTGAATGATGGGAATGTCATACTTGGGACATCTGTAAGTTAATCAAAAGTTAACATACATCACGATGTATATATTATGTTAATGCAGAGGTCATTTGCATAATCAAAGAAGAAATTTACATTTACATATCAAGCCCATATTTCATCGGAATTCTTGTTTTGCAAGTGAAAAGATCATAGTTAAAAGACTGACCAGAAAATTGATCAGAAAAATCCAGTGTTTACCACATTAGATGCCTTTACGAGCAACATGCCTTTAAGAGTAGCCCCCTGCTGTAGTACTTGCACAGCTGTATTGCCCAAGGGATACAGAAATGGAGATGGGCACCACTTCTATGCTCTGCACAGAGTGAACCGTGACCATTTTGGTACCCTGTAGGAGAGGACCTGGAGATCTCTGCGCCCATCCTGCTGGAGACTTACCGGGCGATCGCCACCTTCACCCCGAGCGGGAAAACCGAGGTCCGCCTGGAGGAGGGAGCGCACGTGGACGTGGTGGAGAAGAACATGAGCGGTACGTTTGTATGATACATAGGCCAAAGTAATGTCACCGGAAGACAGGCGAAAAATGTCCAGACTATGCATGATGTAAAAAATGACTAATAAACTGATGGACGTACCAACTACTATGTACCTAATTTCACCTCAGAAAAGAACAAGAAATCAACCAAGGATTGAGGTGTTCACAAACTCATTTTTTTCCTAGACATTTACTAGTACTACTATCGTACAGTAGAAGTAGGGACATCATCACTTGATAGCTTAAAACGATTTTTAGAGTTAGATGTTCAAAGGATAGTTGTAACAAGTCGTTTGGTGTAATGTAGCCCGCTGCCGCCGCGACGCGTGCCTGCGAAGCTGTTGTGTCACGCCGAGGAGCGATTATACCCACTTTACAGATGCAGATACAGACAGACAGGGGCGTCTGAAAGGACGTGTTTGTACGTCTGTCTCTGTGGGTGTATATGGCCTGAAAGGTATTAATCCATTCATTCATTCATTCATTCATCCATCCATTCACCCCTCCAGGCTGGTGGTTGGTTCAGGTGGACGACAAACAAGGCTGGTGCCCCGCCTCTTACCTGGAACTTCTGGACCAACCAGAGGAGAGAGACGAGGAACGGCCAAACTGGGAAGGTACGTAAAGCGTAGGTCACAATTAAAAAGGTGAGACAGTCTTTCTAGAATGTCCGAGAATGAAAGTGGAAAGGGCATAGGCACAATGTGAGGCACACACACACGCGCGCGCACACACACTCTCGAGCGCACACCTGCACACAAACCATACACACTCACACACACACACACACACACACACACACACACACACACACGCACGCACGCACGCACGCACGCACACACACACACACACACACACACACACACACACACACACACACACACACACACATATATATATATATACACAAAAGAATCATACACTAAGAAACCTACAGACGTACAAAGACACACACCCAACACACACACACACAAACACAGTGATACTGTTTTCCTTCAGCCATAGAAAGTAGGATGATACTTTACCTCAGGTAAATGGATAGGACGGTTAACCCTTACACGGTGTCAATGCAAATGACGGTTTAGGACTGTGGCCATGGAAGCCACAGTCCTAAACCTTCGTCTCCTTCTCTCAGGTGAAGAGTTCCTGACGACGGAAAAGTACGAGCCACAGATAGATGACGAGATCGGTTTTGATAAAGGCGTGATTGTTCATGTGCTTCACAAGCTCCTGGACGGCTGGTGGATCGTGCGGTAAGCTTTTAGTACTCATCATCTACGATCTTTTACATAGCCTTTACCAGGCTTTGGGAGAACGTACTGCGCCTGGCCAAAACCCCATTTTTCACGGTTTTCGTAGGATTTTTGGAAACTACGGATGAATTGTTAACCTTATATGCAAAAATACGATCTAATATGAGACGCTGTGCCGAAGTACTATGCACTACCATTATGGGTTTCGCGCAGGTCGTTCTGCCGACGTGCGTGGGAGCGGCAAACTATTCTCGTAGCGCGGACCAACCCCGGCATATCATCTGTCTATTTGGTCTATTTCTAGCCGCTTCCCGAAGCTGGTAGAGGCTATATTTTAAGCATCTTTCCACGCACTTGTTTACAACACGAACAGAGATATTTATCAGATTCGAAATCATCTGCCAAATATATGCCTTTACTACAACTCCTGTATGCTAGGGTTATGGTGAAGATATCTTTGCCCTCAGCGTTTTTCGATGAAGATTCACTACATTTTTTTTATTTCCGTATATAAGGCGTACTTCTTGTATACTTCTCATTTTGGCTTCAGCTGATTAGTCTCGATTGACTGACCGACCACATTGACCTGTTGTACTCACGAATATTGTTGAAAAGCTTACCAGTTGCTTGAGTGACTATTTTCTTATGTATCTCATTACCTGGATGTCTAACCTCCATTGACGTGTTTTGCTGCAGGTACAACGACAAGGTAGGTTACGCACCTAGCGCCTACCTTCAGAAGTACAACAACCCCCACCTGCCCCTCCACAAGGCCTGTGCGAGGATAGACAGCGACAAATCAACCAGCTCCTTCATCAAGAGACTGCCTCGAAGAAGGTCAGTGATGTAAACCGCCTAAGTTATGGTTTCTATGCTAAAGGACAAGTTGTTTGGCTGGAACGTAGGTGACTAGCAGAAGCGCCAATAATGTAGGGATGGGTTCCAGGCTAGTAGGTTTGTATGAGAAGTGTTATAGCTGATAGGTACAATAAGAGCACAGATAAGGTAGCCTAGCCTCTACCAGGGTTAAGAGGCGACTGGAACGAGTAAATATTGGCCAAACACACACAAACGCACAGCTCTGGTTTCCTTGCTAAAATACGGGTCGTTTTATGGAAAAGTGTTGGCTTTCATTGTAACCATGCTGTGGTTTTCTTCCAAAGTGACTAATTATTCATTTAAAGTATCTAAGTTGAGTTGATGTTTACCAGACGTCTTTTCATTGTTTAACCTACCATGCCAAACTTACTTACGATGGAGTGAGTGAGTGAGTGAGTGAGTGAGTGAGTGAGTTTGTCAGTCAGTGAACTTACAAAACAAGGAAAAATTGCATGATATTATAAGAGCCGTTTTGCTAGAAAAGTATGCTATGGAATTACGTGGTTTCCTAAAATGACGGGTTTTTGTCTCCTGAACAGGTCCACTATCCGGAGGAAAAGCAGCGCCCATGGAAATGAGCCCAAGCAGCGCGACCTGCAAATTTACAGGCGCAAAACTTTGGAGGCCTCAAAACGATCTCGCCTAGCAGCCATGGCAAAGGAGGCATACAGGAGGGTCGGCACGGTGCCAGAGAAACCTGGAGAAGCAGTTGCCAATACTGCACCGGAGGAGTACATCTTTCCTGAAAACACAGCCAAGACGTCTGTGGATTATTCTTACGCGAACGGAAGTGTGGTAGAGGACATTGCCAGCCGAAAAGCCAACTCATATGATCCACGTTCAACTTTAACAGGACCAAACATGGTCACAGAATCGTGTCACAGTACTAGTAAATCCTCTACAAAATCCGTCTGGGCGCCAGCCTTCGTCGATGAAGAAAAGGACAAGAAGAATTTTCCAAAGGATCCGACTTACATCGACAGTAACACTGCGCCGTCCATGGCGGGAAAAAAGACGCGCTTAAAAGAACAGACTGCCCGGTATCTGAATCTCGGATGCGTGCCCGACACCCCCGTCTCTTCGAGTACTTGGAACAAAGGACCGAACTCTGACAACAACGCCGCTTCTACTGACTCCTCTTACGAGAACATTGACGTGCAACAACAAAATATCACAAAAGGAACTACAACAACGCGGTCAGAACGTAGGCCAAGAAGTCCAAGGTCTCCTCGTGCTCCCGTTCCAGTACCCAAGGGTACAACCTCAAACCTACTGTCACTAGAAACAGGCAGGGAGCTCAGGTCCAATAGCGGTAGTTCAAATCCGAAGAGCGGGCGTACCACGCCTAAAAGCGGTCGATCTAGCCACAGGAATAGCCGACTAAGCCCAAGTATTCCTGCTAGACCGACTGCAGCAGAAATAGCGGCAAAATGCACCCCGCAAACCAAACAACGGATTGGTCAGTCTCAGTAAGCCCCAGAAGATTCTGTTCTCAGAGCTCGAGGTAGCAATAGTCCTAGGAGCGGTCGTTCAAGTCCAAAGAGCGGTCACGTCACAGCTTGACCAAAAGCCCCCGTTCCAGACCCAAAAGTAACATTTCTAAAGCTTCGGTCCCAATTGCGCCGGGCTCTAGAGCATGGCGGGCACCGGTTGTTGTGGTCACAATTAAAAGTTTCCTTCAGTGGCATTTTGTCACCCTTATTGGTCGGTCTCCGACAGGCACCCGGCAGGTACCCGGCAGCTTCTCTGACGATGTCTTGTACTTACCAACTTAATACAGAGTTCACGCTTTTGTTGTGATCATCTGATCTGTGATGTCACACATTTGACGCGGAAGTACACACATTTATTATGTGTATCTGTTGTATCTGGTCTGTGACGTAAAAATTTAGTTCCGGTGGACTGCCGGCAACCGGAGGGGTATCTCTTGGTGTTTTCACGGCTCGGTCACGGCGTCGTTTTGTCAGCGGGGCCCGGGTAGAATTTAAGTCAGAATTTTTAATCATGGCCTTTAATCTGGACCAAACAAATGCGCCCCAGCAGTTACATAACTTAGTGCAACGTTAACTCGTGGGGGGGGGTTGTCGCAATTGTCGCCACTTGCTTCATTTAACTAAAGGAGATTCATCTATGATAGCCCAGACAATTTAAAGTACAACTTACCACCAAAGCGGAAACAGAGCGTCTTCCTTGGCGGATTTTTTACCCGCTCGTTTTTCCCGTCCATGTACACTGCCACTGGCCATCTTGGAACGGTGTGTTTCACACACAGGTGTCACCTGTAAATCATGAGTAAAATTTGAATTCGATAATCAAGTTAACATAAGATTAACAACAAGCCAATGAACAATCATAGCACATGCAGGCCTGAAAACTACGATGATTTCATTATGGCTTTTATCTTACAGATTCGAAATCATTCAACTTGATAAATTTAGGAGGGAGACACACCTTAGTAATTTTCCAATAAATGATCTTTGTTTGCCCATTTTGGCCATGTTGATTTGATTATATGGATGGCATCCGCGCGCGCATGAAGTTTCGTCCGTTTCCAAATAAAGTTATTCACCGGTTGCACCATACTGTAAATCGTACAAAATGAGTGAATGTATGTTGTATGTTGAAAAAAGGGATTGTCCTATATTATGAAACTGAGGCCTTATGCAATGTAGATTGTACAGGTATCGCACTGCAGTTTTCATGTAGGTCGCCAGGGCGCATGGTTGGACGGTGTGTTGCCCACAGTCAGATTGTGGCGGGTTGCCAAAATGTATTTGATACGATATTAAATCTTGAACAGATACTCTTGTGCCATTGTAATTTATAGACTCTGCCTCCACAAGGGCCGAAACAATGTACTCGAGCACGCCCAACCCACAGTCTTTTCTATCAATGTCAGACACGCTATTTGTTGGACGTCGCTATAATTTTTTCCATTTATTCCTCCGGTCGCATGGTGGCGCTTTTCTATAACCGTACTGTACCTGTCCTGTCCTTGGTGCTGAACTAATAATCTGACGCTGGATATTGTTTACTTCGTCAAAAATGCCACTCATAATCTATCTGTATTTCTTACGGTACCGAATAGCACGTAAATTCAAGGCTCTTTATTCTTATGTTCCTTTAGATTGTGCTTATTTTTTATATAAAGTTAATGTTATAATTGGAACAGAATTTGAAGATAAATGTGTCAATACTTTCTTTTCTGCATGAGACAAGCTGACCATTGCAATATCTCTTGATTGCTGTTTTGTTTTTGTTTTTTCGAGACAATATTCTCCTGTTTCCTGCATGGAAATTCAGCTTCATAGATAGCGTCAACGTTGGCATCCTCTACCTTTACCTTGACCTTGGCATCCAGAGTACGGAAAGTTGACAAGTCACTACAGCTCACATTGTTATTTTATTTATTTATTTATTAAGATTTACCACATTTGTGGAAGAATTGACATAACAGGTACGTGACTATCACCTTTTCAAAGATGTCAACCCCGAGACCAGACTGTAAGGTTTGAACCACTCACACCGGGAAGGTCCCCTACTCTTTTCGATAAGTGCGGTGGGTTCTTTAACGTGCGTGGGGTGTGGCTCTCCCAAACACAGGACCTCCATTTAACGTCCTATCCAAGGGACGTCCCTAGTCGAAGCTAAGTACTCATTTTCACCTGAGTGAAGTGAGGAAAGTCATGTTAAGTACCTTTCCCAAGGGTACAACGTCGGGGCGCATGTTATCAACACTAGTACTCTTGGTCTGTCCCAAACACGACTGAACTACTTGATACTGCAAATTATGAGAACATATATAGGGATGACCTCTATACAAATTATTTTTTGATCCAACGGTTGTGATCTACACTGATGGTATCATATAACTCATTCAGATGTATCCAACACACTGAATCGATTGATAGGACCAGGAACATTTGAAAGCTGCGCACAAAAGATATTTTTATATAAGGCAGAGTAGTAGCAGCGTACTGCTTTTGTGAACGGGGATAATTCAGAGAATGACGAGTTGTCGGCTAGTGAAAAGCCCGTCGTAACTAGAGGCGGTAAACCCGTCCGACAACACTAATGAGGCTTCGGTACAAATTCACATTGTGTGTTTGGGGGGGGGCGGCAACCTCATCAATTAATGCAGTTGAGGCGTTGGTATAGTGCAGAAAAGAGCAAAATGTAGTCATTATATAGAACAGAAAAGAGCCACGATATAGTACAGAAAAGAGCAAAATGTAGCCATGATATAGTACAGAAAAGAGCAAAATGTAGCCACGATATAGTACGGAAAAGAGCAAAATGTAGCCACGATATAGTACGGAAAAGAGCAAAATGTAGCCACGATATAGTACAGAAAAGAGCAAAATGTAGCCACGATATAGTACAGAAAAGAGCAAAATGTAGCCATGATATAGTACAGAAAAGCGAAAGATGTAGCCATGATATAGTACAGAAAAGAGAAAAATGTAGCCATGATAGAGTACAGAAAAGAGAAAAATGTAGCCATGATAGAGTACAGAAAAGAGCAAAATGTAGCCATGATATAGTACAGAAAAGAGCAAAATGTAGCCATGATATAGTACAGAAAAGCGAAAGATGTAGCCATTATATAGTACAGAAAAGAGCAAAATATAGCTATGAAATTATGTTACCTAACGAAACGTAACTAGTTCACGAAGTTCTATATCAACTTGGCTCGTTTCCTAGCTCTCTGTGAATTTCTTCCTTTCAAATTCACATATTCTTCTTGGCGCACTAGGATTGCCACTCGTATATATAGTGTGGAATTGGTCAAGTCGACTCTTAAATGTATATACACTGTATGAGTAATTACGACATTTTTAAATAAAAAACCATAATGTCGTCGACATCAGTTATGCTGCCCCAGCTTGCATGGCTGCATTTTGCGTTACAGACGCTTGGAATATGTGTTATTGAGAGTTTGAAAAGGAGCTTTCAAAAATAGACTGCTGTTGAATTAATTGATCTAGCGCAGATGCCTGGTCTGTTCAGCAATGGCTTATCTGTTGGCCTGACCAATTACTATTTGGTACATCACAAAAGATGGATAGATCAAAGGAACAATGTCTATCAAATAATTGTAAGCCGCTATCAATTAATGTTGGCATGAAATTCGAATCCTTTTTATACAATTATACGCAAAAACACGCTAGTACACCGTTGACAAAAACGTCTGGAAGATACGTTATTAGTGGTTGAACATGTTTTGAAAGACGAGTAAAACCCTTCTCACTGGGATGGACATGTAATCATTTAATCAGAAAGTACTTTAAGTGACACAACAAAAGTACAACTATAGACATACACATGTAAAATAATGAGTTTACATAGAAATTACAAGGTACGTGAGTATACAAACATATATCATGATTATTACCATCGCCACTACCATCTGTCAACTTCACAGACCACCACTGCTGTCCACTCTCTTCTGTCCATCGCTTGCCTTCTCTCTCCCTTCCAAGTAAAACCCTTCTCCTCTAGGTCCCCTCATGACTGTTTTTCCCTTGTCATTTGTTGACCTCCCCTCCTTGTTTTCCATTGTGGCATCAGTTTAATGCCACAGGGGGAGCCGTGTTCTTGGCATCCTTACAACATGGCCAAGGCACCTTCTCGTGCACAGCGCACCAGAGTAGACAATCTTAGTTGTCCAATTCCGGAAATTCAATCTCTCCCTCAGTAACCACCTCTGGTCTCCATCATCGAGGTATTTGTCTTATTTGCCATGTATAGTCAATATGTTAGAAAAAAAATTATAGAGCAAATCGCGTTTCTGAACTGACTGATAGCAGAAATATAAAACTTACTATGGGTAACTTTCCAAATTACGCTCAACTGTGAGTACATTTTGAACCACAATTCTGATTGTTTGCTGTGTTTTTGAACTGACATACGCACAGGTTTTGGAGTTGCTTCTCACAACTAGCAGATTTCCATTTTATGATCAACTTTGTAGTACATTTTGAACAAGTCCGAACGTTTTCCGTGTTTTTGAACTGACAAAACGTTAACGTTACGCACAAGTTTTGGAGTTGTTTCTCACACCTAGCAGCAGTCCCGACTATCCATACCTACCTGTCGTGAGCGGTGGAAGACGATTGCGTGTGTGCATGAAACAAACCATCCAATAAATGGTCATTAGACATATCTATGCACGGAGGGAGTCACGTACTTTATTAACCAGGATTTGAGTGGTTGATAATGGACGGAATAGCGGTAATCAGCTCCCGTGTAGTTCAGGTTTTCTCGGGTCGTCAGGGTTACCTGATCTTGTCGTCTGTTTCCACACAAATCGTGCCATTCCAACACTCACTTGGCTACAAACGTAACCTGCGCCGCGTGAAGGTTCTCTCTGTCATTTGGAAAATCCAATAAAAACGTGTGTTGAGAGAGAGTTGGCCGGGAGAAATGATCTCCACCGGGAACCTTTGGCGCCGTGGCAGAGAGAAATGGGAAGACTCGCGTGTGTCGGGAGCGACTCGGGCCGGGATGGGAGCCATTGGGGAAAATTATTCCATGTATTTGATGTAGACATTGCTTGCCCT